AAGGTTCGCGACAGCAATCCTGCCGCGTCTCCCCGCGCCGCCGCGCCGCTTGACGCTCGAAACAACAAACACAGCACGGTGCCGCGATAAACCGAAAAATTGCCGCTGTAAACATGACACCACCAGCGGAACCAGCCGGGCCGTCGCCAAGGTGACGCGTCTTCTGTTTTCGCGCGCGAATGTGCGCGCCGTGTTTATGCCCCCTTTTCTCGAATAAATTTGAACCGTGTGGGTCGATTTGTTTTCAATCGAGTGTGTTAGAACGGCGAGCCGGGCTGGGCGGCATTGGGGTCACGCTGGCGACGGCGCGTTGAGACATTGGCGACGCAGACGCATCACCGCGCCCGCCTCGCCCCGCCGCCCCGCCCCGCGGGTGGCGGGTGCCATCCTTGGGCCACTGTCTGTCTCCCCGAACGGGACCTAGCCCAACCGCCCGGCACTCGGTGGCCGTCGTGGCCGCGGCCGAAACTCCTCTAGGAATGCGGCGTCGCGGCTCCGCGCCGGCACCGCACCGCGTCCTGGGGGAAGGCCTTGTGGGCGTCGTCGCGGGCCTCCACTGCTTTCTTCGGCCGGAGCGCCTCTCCTCCCCCCCCTCCCCCTCCTCGACCGCTACTCGCCCACTCGAGTCAGCCTTCGGCGCTTCAAAATTTATTTCATTTTCGCAAGGCTTTGGGAGTTTGCGGTTTGTGCGCCGCGGCCTTGGCGTCGCCTTGGCGGCAGCACGGCGGTGTGGCCCTCGCACCCCGAGCTAGCAGCCAGCGTCACGACCGCGACGCCCTGCGCCTGCCTGTCTCTCTCGCACTCATGGTGCGTGCCGCAGCGTGTCGCAGGTTGCGAGAGAGACAGAACGGGTTGGCCCGAAAATGCGGGGATGGCTCCGCGAACGTGACGACGCCCAGGTGCTTCCGGTTGTGTCCCGGAGCCATCCTGGAGTCGAAACGCTGGGAGCGGCTGGGAGCGGCGCGACGATGACGCAGTGGGCCAGAATGGCACTCTCCGTCCTCCGTGCACGGCAGGCAGTCCGACGCGCGGGCCTGAAAAAAAGAGCGTAGTGTACGCAATAAATTGACTTTTGTTTCTCTGGCCCGAATCGGCTGTATCCTCCACGTCCGCCAGGGCGGCGGCGCCAGGCCGCCGGTAAAAGGCTCTTTAGCCGCCGGCCGCGAGGTCCGGAACCGCGAAGACGGCGAAGACTCGCCGCCAAGACGCAAAACAAGATGGGAAACTCGTTTTTCGGCCTTTCGGACGTGCGTCGCGCGGCGTGGCGTCGCGGTGTCACTCCTCCTCCTTCCAGTCCAGCGGCCAGCGCGCCAGCGCCTCGCCTTCCCGCCGTGCTTCCCGGCCTGGCCACGGCGGCCACGCCGCGGCGCGGCCTTGGCTACACGTGCCTCCCCCCCTCCGGAACCCCGCTCCAAATCTCGCTATCAGCCAAGCTCTCGTCCTCTCTTCCTCTGCGCGTGGTACTATATTGGTGCGGCGTCCTTTGTGGGTCACCTACTTGCGGCCCTTGTGTGCGAAGTGCGGCGTAGTGCGCCACAGAGAGGCGCGAAAAGGGACCGAGACGAAAGCAGAGAGGTGCCGCTTGTCTCCAAACCGCGGCGTAGGTTGAGGCGGCCTTCTGCCGGCGTTCGAGTCGGCGGGGCGGGGCGGGGCGAGCGCCCGTGCGGCAGGCGACCCGCGCGCACCGCTGCGCTGCCCGCCCCGCACTGCCTACCTCCACGGCGCTCCGACGCCGCCGCTGCAAGCTCTGCCGGAGCACTCGCGGGTTGCCGCCAACCGGCGTCGACTCTCGATTGTTGTGTTAGCCGAAATGACGAACAAGTGGGAGGGGCGCAGGGAAAGTGGGCTTGCTTACAGTGGCGTATTCAGAATTGCTCTCGGCGTGCGCCGCGCCGCACTTCGAGGCGGCGATGCACTGCGATGCACCGAGTCAGCAGAGTGATTCCGCTCTCGCACTGTCTCTCTCGCACTCGTGGGGCGTGCCGCATGGGTGCGAGGGAGACAGAGTGAGTCTGCAGCGCGAGGCGGCGAGACTGGGCGGCACCGGCGCGGCGTGCGGCTGCATGACTCAATGCGCAGTTACCGGCCGGCCGGCACGCGCAGCCACGCGCAGCCACGCGCCGGCAGACTGGCCCCGTCGCGCTCGTGGGGCGTCCCGTGGGGCGTCCCGTGGAGCGTCCCGTGGGGCGTCCCGTGGGGCGTCCCGTGGAGCGTCCCGTGGGGCGTCCCGTGGAGCGTCCCGTGGGGCGTCCCGTGGGGCGTCCCGTGGGGCGTCCCGTGGGGCGTCCCGTGGGGCGTCCCGTGGGGCGTCCCGTGGGGCGTCCCGTGGGGCGTCCCGTGGGGCGTCCCGTGGGGCGTCCCGTGGGGCGTCCCGTGGGGCGTCCCGTGGGGCGTCCCGTGGGGCGTCCCGTGGGGCGTCCCGTGGGGCGTCCCGTGGGGCGTCCCGTGGGGCGTCCCGTGGGGCGTCCCGTGGGGCGTCCCGTGGGGCGTCCCGTGGGGCGTCCCGTGGGGCGTCCCGTGGGGCGTCCCGTGGGGCGTCCCGTGGGGCGTCCCGTGGGGCGTCCCGTGGGGCGTCCCGTGGGGCGTCCCGTGGGGCGTCCCGTGGGCGTCCCGTGGGGCGTCCCGTGGGGCGTCCCGTGGGCGTCCCGTGGGGCGTCCCGTGGGGCGTCCCGTGGGCGTCCCGTGGGGCCGTGCCCGTGGGGCGTCCCGTGGGGCGTCCCGTGGGGCCGGTCCCGTCGGGGCGTCCCGCGTGGGGCGTCCCGTGGGGCGTCCCGTGGGGCGTCCGTGGGGCGTCCCGTGGGGCGTCCCGTGGGGCGTCCCGTGGGGCGCGAGAAAGACAGCGCGACGAAACGCTGTGCGGAGTCGCTTTGCGTGCTTTGCGTGCTTTGAGTGGTGGACGTGATTTGGATGTCTCCCCACGACGGCGTGTCCGGCGGGGCGGCGGGGGCGAGCTGATTCGCGTTCGCCAAACTGCGGCCGGCACAATCGCCCGCCGGCGGTTTCTCTGTCGCCGTGTCGTCTTGCCGCGAATTCGGCACTTTCCTTGGATGGCTGCAGGCCGATCCCAACGCTCTGTCTCCCTCGCACTCCCTGGTCGACCCGCAAGGGCCGCAAGGGCGCGAGAGAGACAGCGGCCGACGCGGTGCTCCGACTCTCTGTGTCGCGCTTCCAGAGATACGCGGTTCTTGGCCGTCGCGGAGCGACATCAGAAAGGGAGAGTTGCGTTTTCGAGAAAATGAATGTGACGCGCTATGCGCAAGCGTGATGTCACCCTGAGTTCCACTCGCGGCGTATAGCCTCTCGAAACTAGGGCCGAAGCCGAAATGCGCAGTGACACGGAGTGACGCGGGGGTATGCACTCGCGTAATAGTCGGTTCACTCTATCTGTAATAGCACGCGTAATAATACGCGTAATAGTCGCGTAATAGTCGCGTAATAGCCGAAATTGTCAAAATTTTATCAATTTTGGTGTGTTTTAGGCCGTTTTTAGCTAAATTTCGATTAATTTGTAGCGTAATAGAGCGTAATAGCGTAATAGTCGGTACACAGGTTCAGAGAGCGCATACCCCCTCGCCCCAATGTCATTTCAGCGGAACGCAGCCGGCGTTCCCGCGCCGAGTCCGACGCCCATGGCCTCCCCCCCCCCCCCCTTTCCGCGTCCGGTAGCTACCGGTTCTTCGTTTGGCGCCGCCTTCGCCTTTGTCTTGTGTTTTTTCCGGTGCCAATTATTGGGATTGGGACACTCGACGAGGCGCGGCACGGCGCGGCACGGCGCGGCGCTCCCGGTGGGGCGGTACAGTGCCGCCTTGTTTGTGTTCCGAGCCTGCCTGCCTAAGCTCTCTAAGCGCACCAGCCCGTCAGGCCCGTCAGGCCGCCAGCTTTGCCCCAATGTCACCCAACCAGCCGATGATAGGACAGGCCAACCGGCGGCCGGTATTTCAAATTGCCGTCTCATCTCACGGCTTGGGGCTTCGACTTTCGACACGCCGCCTCACGGGGACTCAGCCTCGGTGCTCGTCGTTGTCCGCGGTCAGAGACTGCGGGTGTGTGCGTCTGGCGTGGTGCCCTGCGGTACTACACTGCCACACCCCCAGCCCTCCGAGAGTCGTGTTTGTCGCTGTCTCTCTCGCACTCATGCGGCGTCCCGTATGGGTGCGAGAGAGACGGGGGACGAAACGACTCTTCGAGTCGCTAGGCCAGCCTCTCCCCCGTGGACGTGCTTGCTGGCTACCCGAGGGTCCGCGGCCTTGCCGCCGAATGTTGAGTCTGCTTCTCTTTCTCCTTGTTCTTTTCTGTCCAGCGACGGCCTCTCGCTCTCCGTCCGTCCGCAGCGTGCAGTGTCTGCAGATTGCACGGATTGCAGCTTTCGCAGCCACCCAGCTATCTGGCCATGGGGCTCAGGGCCGAGGCATTCGAACAGGACTCCGATTTGGAGTGGCATTTGAAACTGAGCCAACCGCTGCGATTCGATTCACAGTGCGGCCAGAGGGAGCAGGGGCGCAGGGCTATGCAGGGGCAGGGCTAGGGACCCAGAGGCCTCGGCGCGTCTGTCTGTGTGTCTGCCTGTCTGTCCGAGCGGCAGACAGTCACCGCGTACTTAGACACTTGAAACAACAAGGACGGCGACGTCGTGCACGTGCCGCGCACCGTGCCGCACCGTGCCGCCGACGCGTCGTCTGCTATCGGGGCTCGCGGCCCTGCGTCACAACGGACGCAGCCGGCGACCCTTCGGCCGACCCAGCCGCTGCGTATGAATGAATGCGTATCAATGCAGAATGAACGCCCCTTAGCGCTCGCGCAGACAGGCGGTTGGCCGCCAGCCCCTGCAGCCAAGCCAAGCTAGCCAAGCCAGCAGCGCCCGGCGCGCGGCCGCGTAGGCCACTCATCGTGCAGCGGCGCCGCTTGTTTAGCCCACCCTGAGGCGCTCAGCCGGGGCCACTCAGCCGGGGCTTCTCAGAGACTCATACTCAGACTTGCTTGTTGTCATTCCTGTGTTGCAGATGTGAGCATCTACAACTACGCGGACGCGCAGGTGGCGTCGAGGAGAGGCCGGCTGTCCAAGGCCGTGACGACGCCCATCGCGGAAGGTCCTTAGTCCTTGCACCCCTTGCACAGCCTTTGGAAACGCCTGTCGGTCATCGGGCCGGGTTCTGACGTGCCGCATTCTGTGTCTTTTCCAGTGGAGCGGCTGAATAGGAGGGGAGATGGTTTACGATGGGAGCAGCGGCAGCAACGTTTGGACGACACAGACGCGGACGAGGATTTTGAAGCCAGAGGTAGGCCCACAAAGTCGGAGTAGCTTGATCTTTCATTGATTTGTTGTATTAATTCTTGTTCGTTTCTTGTTTTGTGTTTAGTTACATCTAGATCCAGGACTCTCCAGAATGATGACGCTCCGAAACCGTTTCTTGTTCTTCCCATGGACATTTGGTTTGCCATTGGCGATCACATTCCTCCTGAAAGTGTGAAGGCCTTTGCATGCATTTGCAAGGACACACAAAAAGTTACAAACAGTGCTCGGTTTTGGTTTGGATTGTACAGAAGGTCAGTTTCTACTAATTATTTTATTTCCTCACTTTAAAAAATTTATTTGTGGGATTTACAGTTAATTTTACTTTATTATTGCCTTGTATTTAGGTTCTATGACCCAGCTCACCTACAAACTTTACCAAGTAGGTTACAACCAGAAAAAATGAAGGCTGTTCAAGGACTGAAGGCCTCTGTTATTCAATCTCTATTTATTATGTATCCTCCATTCATTGAAAGACTGAAACCAAGGCCTGGTAAAATTTATGACTTACAACCCATTCTAAGACGGAAATGTATCAGTACATGGTATACACAGGTTAGTACCTTAATTTTTTAAATTTATTTTTTAATTGATTGGTGTTATTGATTACATTTATCTATTGTTCCCATAGAAAGGAAAAATATGGACCTATTGGTTCAAACTGAAACAAATAAATGTACGTGTGGGAAGAGGATTGTCTTTACTGAGTCATGGTAACAAGAAGTTGCTTCAGATGGAGCAAGATTTGGCAACTAATGAAGAAAAGGACAGCAAAGTTCTTCAAGTGTGTATTTATGTTGTGAAAAAGCACTTAACGTCTGATGGAAACTTACTTAATCTTTTTCTTTACTTCACAGGTCTCATGCTCTCAGTACCTACCACTGCCTGCTGTACATGGTCTCCTCCTGAAGAAAGCTCTCATCACGGTCTCTCAAGACATGATGGCTCATAAACTTACCCTCACCTTTGACTCTACAGACATTGTTATCGACCCTGCCTCTAATATTCAAATTTTAGATTGGTGGCATCCTCAGTACCCCCACACTGTGTATCAGCTTGTGAAGAAGAATATCACACTCTCTCTTCAGGATAAAGACAACAATAATGTAGAGGCTGGGCTGCTAATTGATCACTGGTACAACGTTTAGGAGTAGAAGGAGTGGTATGCAGTGGTATGTACCTTAATAACTGCCTTAAATGTCAAGTAATTTGAAAAAAAAATGTGATTGTGTTTTAGATGTATGAGACTTGTGGGCAAGTACTCATGAGTTTTAGTTTAAGAAATTCCCTTACATTGGGGTATCTAGTTCAGAAAATTGTGATAAACATACAATTGTAAGCTGATTTGTCGAAGAGTTGCTAATTTGCATACATGCGTTAGAATTTCTTGAGTAAAGAATTCCTGATTGTGTTTTTTTTTTCTCACTGAAGAAGATTAATGTTACTGGTTACCTTAAGTTGAATGATGCATCAATTTTTAATTGTAGTCGTGGCTAATCCCTTATACTGTAATTAATTATGAATAGCCTATTTGAGGATCTAAAACAACTTGGTTACAAAACTTTGCCTGGGATGCAAATCATAGCTTGTAGTGTTTTTATTCCTTTTCTGTTTGCCATAATACAAATACTCTGTATCTGAGCCATATACTAGGAACCTTGCTGTGGCCACATTTTTTGTCTCTCCTTCCTTTTTTACAGGGTTTGATTCTCCTCGGAAATGTTCTGTTTGCAAAGGACCATTGTTAATCAGACATATTGTATTCTATAAATACTGCCAATTCAATATCAAGAGTATGTATGCTCATGTAATTACTAAAACATACATTTAAACATTTTTGTATATATACTGTGTGTCCTAGGGCCTACCCTCATTCCAACAATTTAGTTTACCAGCTGTTATTGTCTAGTTCATAATTCCAATTTTACTACGCATTGTTTCAATTTGTGTGCAGCTGTTACAATGGGAAAGCCCTTTGGAAAACAATCTCTTTGCCATGTATGTATCATTCTGTGTTTGACTTTCTATGAAGCTGGACCTTCATAAAGATTGGATAATGTGTGTACTGTGTGATCCAATAGTTCTCTAAATATTCAATACACCTTTTTGGCAACAACTTTGAATCATGAAATTTTTTAATTTCCCATGATTCAAAGTGAAAATCTCAATGGTAAATCATACTTACCTGTGATCTTAGTCTACTTTTTCTTGTTAAAGGTGTTTCTTTCTGAAAACCCACTTTCCATTGTACTTATTGTAGTGAATTTCTAGGGTTGCTTTTGTGAAAAAGTGGGTTTAGAAAGTCACACATTTTATGATGGCCTGTTATTGTGATGCTTGTGACAGTTTGTTTTTGTACTTAAAGTGTATAAATCGAGGCATATCTACCCTCGCAATTAAAAAAGATATACTACCAATTAAATTTTCATTTTATTTAAATGAAGCAAAATGACAAGTGGCAGTCGTCCGGCATGGGGTGGGACATTAGGCTGAATAAGTGGCGACCACATGCAGCAGCCTGCGCCTCTCTGAGGGACTTCCCTCGACCTTGGCGGCCGCTGTTCGCGGTCGCCGCACGGCCGAGTCCCCAACGAAGCAGCCGCGGCCCCCCACGGCTCAGGCGCTCTGGCGCTCGGTCCGGCCGAAATGACGCAACGATACTGAGTGTGGGGGTGTGCAGTATCCGAATAAAGCTTGCCGTATCTGCCCTCGCCTGCTCCCTGCGCCCAGCTGCCCCCCTCCCCCGCTTCCCCCTTCCTAAAGTTGACCCTCCCCGTGACAGGATTGGGGACCGGGACCTCCTCCGCAGTAATGCTGTGTATCCCACGTATATTCATGTGATTGCTCGCCCAACAGGCGATTTCTTTGCCTTCACTTCGGCTCCCGAGTCCCACATTTACTGGAGAATTTGAGACTCCTGCTCGATGTTACCGCCACAGCGGCGGTACTTGAGGGCATGCGCGGGCATGCTTCCGGTGCATCCTCGACCCAGCGGCACTCCAGCTGGAGAAAACAACAACAACAACAATAACAAAAGTCGCCATATTTGAATTACGTAACACACGTCAGTCCAGTTCAAAGTTTATGAGGCGAGGCAGGGCCGTTCTTGCACAGCAACTGGGGACGACGACCTCGTTGAGCTTGAGCGTTCTGCATCCATTTCTGCTGCAGCTGGATCGTGCGAAGCAGGTAACGGAAAATCTTTCCCAGACCCACTTGTTGCATGTGGGTTTCTTGTGGCACGTGTTGAGCGCTTTAGTGATGTGCTCTCGACCGTGGGGTTGTCGCCAGGCCTCATATTTTTGTGTTTTCTTTCCGCCTTCGCCTTCCCATACTCTTATTTTTAGTTAATTCGCCCAGCACTTAGGCGTGCCATGACCTGACGCGCTCATGTTAACAACACAGCTCGAGCTTGCATCTAACAACATATTTGGAAACTGATAAACTGGTTGGGCAAAACACATTGAGCAAACTTTGATGGTGGCTCGGTTCTTAACTGGGGTCCATGGGGTCATCTTCCTATCTGACCATGACTGCTGCCTGGGCCGGGCCTCCCAAGCCTCCCAAGCCTCCCTCACCAGTCAAAGACAGTTCACTGACTGAAGTGTGTAGACGTGGTATGCGTTTCCCCAGTGCAAAGTGTCCGTTCTGCTCCGATGTAAATTTAACAGCTTTGAATCTTCTCTTTTCAGAACCATGAGTTCCGACATGCAGAAAATGCTCCACGAAAATGTCTGGGACTCGGATCCCGAACTTTTTGAGCTGATGAAGAAAGAGAAGCAGAGGCAGCTCAATGGACTGGAGATGATTGCTTCTGAGAACTTCACATCCCTTTCTGTACTGCAGTGCCTATCTTCTTGCCTGCACAACAAGTATTCAGAGGGTCTTCCTGGTGCTAGGTAAAGACAACTTGCTTCTGTTCATCCGAAGTTGTGCTTTGCTTATCGTTTTGGTCAATTCTTGACTAATTTACATTTTTTATTATTTGTGTAGGTATTATGGTGGCAATGAGTTCATTGATCAGGTGGAGCTTCTAGCTCAGAAACGCTGCCTCGAGGCCTTCAGGCTGGACCCCAACGAATGGGGTGTCAACGTCCAACCCTATTCCGGATCACCCGCTAACTTTGCAGTGTACACAGCTCTTGTTCCTCCTCATAGTCGTATCATGGGTAAGTTGTGATACAATTTACTTTAATATTTCATTTGTACCAATCTCCGCTTGAACTGCGTTTGAATGATGCACCATATTCATATTGTTCAGGTCTTGACTTGCCTGATGGTGGCCATCTGACTCATGGTTACTTCAACAACAACAAAAAGATCTCTGCAACATCAATTTATTTTGAGTCAATGCCCTACAAGGTGAACCCTGAAAGTGGTTTGATCGACTATGACAAACTAGAAGAAACAGCAAAGCTTTTCAAGCCCCAGGTCATTATTGCAGGTGTGTGGATTAGTTTCAGAGTGCCTTGGGAGAGTTAGCATTTTTGTGTTAATACTCACTTATTCGGCCGTTTATGCTTTTCAATATTTCTGTGTTTAGGAATAAGCTGTTACTCCAGGTGTTTGGACTACAAGCGTTTCCGTGAAGTTGCTGATCAACATGGAGCATACCTCTTCTCAGACATGGCCCATGTCAGTGGTTTGGTTGCTGCTGGAATCATTCCATCACCTTTTGAGTACAGTGATGTTGTCTCGACTACTACACACAAAACCCTACGAGGACCCAGGGCCGGAGTTATTTTCTTCCGTAAAGGTAACAGAGCCTTCTCCATTAAATTTGAGATCCATCCAAGGACATTTTATTAAATACTGCTCCACTTTTCTTTTTTCTTTTGAAGGACTTCGTAATATTGGGAAGAATGGGGAAAAGGTCATGTGGGACTTGGAGGCGAGAGTAAATCAAGCAGTGTTCCCCACTCTGCAGGGTGGCCCTCACAACCACCAAGTTGCTGGCATTGCCACAGCTATGAAACAAGCCAAGTCACCAGAGTTCAAGAATTACCAAGAACAGGTGAGAATTTATTTAAATTTACTTTGTGTTAAAAATTGTTATTTGAACGGGGTGGTAATCATTCTGTGGTACTCTGCAGGTAGTGAAGAATGCGAAGAAATTGTGTTCAGGTCTCCAGGAGGCAGGCTACAAAATTGCAACTGGTGGCACCGATGTTCATCTTGTATTAGTTGATTTGAGAAACACTGGTTTGTCTGGTGCCAAAGCAGAATTTGTTTTGGAGGAAATGCACATTGCTTGCAACAAGAATACTGGTAAGTTAACTGTAAATTTATCTGGTTTGCCAATGCTCTCATCTTCATTAAGCATCACTTATGATCTGGATTTTTTTCCTATGCAGTACCAGGTGATAAAAGTGCATTGAACCCAAGTGGTATCAGATTGGGAACACCTGCTTTGACTACTAGAGGCTTTGTGGAGAAAGATATGGAAAAAGTTGTTGACTTGATTCATAGAGGTATGTAAATTACTCGAATCTACAGTGCAGTGCAACATTTATTCTGTAGAACATGCAACATGTAACTCAATTTATTCTTCTTCACTAGGATTGCAACTCGGGAAAGAAGTTATGGTTGCATCTGGTCCGAAGTTGGTGGACTTCAAGAAAGAGCTTCTGGAGAATCCAAAGTTTTCACCCAAGATGCAGCAGTTGAGAAAAGAGGTCCATGACTTTTCAAGTCAATTCTCCCTGCCAGGACTGAAGGAGTATTAATCTCTACATGTCATTTCCAAAAGGCCCACATTTGGTCATGACTGCTTGAATTTGAGACTGTCAGTGATATTTTTAAGTACCTGTGACTTTTCACATTTTTCCATTCCTTTATATGTATGCTGCTTTTTAAAAAAATGTGCCATTTTAAAATCAATGAAATAATATAAGGACGTTTTATATGCAAAGTTTATTCTTTATCCAAACCTCACCATACTACGCGCAGGTCATTGTGACTCATTACATCAAATAACTAAGTCCTTGTCTGGTCCACGATAACATACATATGAATATACATATTTAAGGTTTGCCAATGTCTTCTCATATATATTCCTCTCTGCAACTTGACAATACAAGCAGTAGGTCTTGAGTAAGAGCTAGACTAATAATTCACTTTTAGATGAATCACAACAGGAGCTTGTAGCTCCCATCTTCTAATAATACTAGAAGGTACACATCAGATGCCAGATGCAAACAGCATTCATCTCATTTGATCTTAGATTTGAACAATAAATCATAATTATTAAATAAGGATAGGGAGCTCAGGAAAAAAAGGGGTAATAGGTATGTAAGCTCAAAGGATTACATCCACCACCTGAATATGAAACTTTAGTACTAATGTGAGCAGACATACTGAGGTGAACATTTCATTGCAGCAAATTGAGGCTGTGACAGAAATCCCTGAAATTTTAAACAATTTTTATGAAAAGATTTTGTAAAGGTTAGTTAAAAAACCCTTCAGCACCCAAGAAACATATGAACTAATGCTTTCTTAATATTCAGACACGCTTGCAGCTAGTACAAGGTAATGTACATTTGACATAAAACATTAGTGTGACTATATATTGATACAAACAATGAGTTAATTTGTAGAGAACACCAGTATGATACAAATGAACATAGCAAACATGCCATTAACAATAAATATCACAACTAGACAATTAACATAAATAATGTTGTACTACCATCTCAAAATTATGTTATCTGAGTCACAGCATAATTGAGAAGTTAAATGATACTAAAAGACTAGACGTATCCACATATAATGGAAACATTATATAAAGAGCATCGGGCAAACACCTTTAGTAACTAAAATTGCTGCATGATAAAACTGTCAATTTTGATGATAAGAATTCTTAGTGAACTGACCAGTACATTCCTACCCGGTGACAAATGACGTCATCATCCATCAAACATTGGCTTGGTGTCAATTTTAAATCCATTTCTCACTAAGTAAACAATATGAACTTCTGTGACAGAACTATTATCAGGATTCTTTACTAGAAAGGCACAAACTGAGCCCATACTTGGTGATGCTTTCACAATCATTACAAACTACTCCTAAAAATACTGTCAGACAAAAAAACAAAATAAATATCTGACCAATAAAATTTCAAATTAACAACAAGGAAAATCTTAGCAAATACGATGATCATTTTGTGAAAAATAAGTAACCTCAAGAACCTAAAAATACTGAGTGACCTTTCAATATTTCTGAGTACAAACATGCGACAATTTAGACAAGATAATTTCCTTAAAAGTATCTTAAAAGAAACAAAGTTCAACAAACACATGAAAAATGAGACAAATCACACAAAAAAATCAAGACAATTCATTAGAAACACAGACTGAGATTGCAAACTAAGTGCAAGTAAAGATTCTGACCAAAAACAATCCACAGCTAATACAAAGATTCTTGAGACAATCATTACTCCATAAGCCCAATTTCAATAAACCTTACTTGAAGGTATAATAGATACATCAATAGTAGACAAAGAAGGCACATCATACAGTACAACTCAACTTTCAACCAAATTTGTAAGTAGTTCATTTTCAACAGACAATGAGACAAGTCATGGCCACACAAATAATGTGTGCTTACTGCCACTCAATTACATTTTAGGCCACAGGAAAAATACTACACCTACATGCTACTAAAGGCTCTTTGCCTTTTTATTTGTAGTAAAAATTTGACAGACAAATACTTGTGACATGATTTCATGATAAACGGACTTCATTCAGTGCAGGGCACATCTTCAATGCTTTCAAAGAAATGAGGTACAGAGGTTGTGTCCAGCACTGAATCTACAAGAAAAAAAAAAAAAAAAAAAAAAAACTGACAGAAAAACACATGTCAATAGACACAATACTTAAACACCAAAGTTAAATACTTTAGACACTTAATTTAGAAAAAAAAACAACACAAGGTATTGCTTTTAAGACTCAACAATTAGAAGAAACAGAAATTTGTATAGTTTGAACTACACATAGAGAGTAATATTCATTCCACAGCCATTCTAGCCTCTATTGTCCCCTAAACATGCAGTCCTGGTCAATATTTTTAAAAGGATTCCAGCATAGCACCAGTCTTTATTTTGCCATAGCAAAATTACACCTTTGGCTTCAACACACAACAATGGGCTTTTCAGCCCTCTAATAAAGAAGACTAAGCAAGAAAAAGTTATAACACTTCTCAGATAGTGTTCAAGTGTAAAAATGTTTAGTAGGTAAAAGAGATCTATAATCCTGTATATAACCGAGTGATAAAATCACATTTTCTTATATCAAAAATAAGCATCTAAAAAGTTGTACAAAAATAATTTTTGAGAATCTCTGAGATGACTCAGAATCAGATCTATTAGAGTTCTGTTGTAATTTCATCTTGAGGACGGAAACCGAGTGTGAGAAAATCGTCTTCATCCAAAAATTCTCTTGCACTTGGCCATTCATTCATAGCTGTGCAGTCCCACAAGCTGTCATCAGCGCAGGAATCACTCCAGTCCCCGCTGGCAGGGCCTACGCCCAAAGGGGTGACTGGCTGTGGACTGTTGGGGGAGGAAGGCGAAGGGGGCTGAAAGGAGGAGAGGCTATTTGATTTGGGGGCACTGCCTAACTGACAAGCAAACACATTGGTCTGCATGGGAATTTGGAGAAAACTTACAAGCTGATCAACCTGAAATTTGAAGGGTTATCAAATTTTACCAAAACTGAATGAACAATTTTAAAGGATAACGTTGCAAATTTGCCTTACCTCTTGTGGTTTGTGTTTTTTGTATCGTCGCAGAACACGCTCTGCCCACCCTAAGAGAGTGCGCCAATCATCAGGAGGATAAGTGATGCTATCATCACGTCGATTCAGAAGAATCAAAATACGAGACAAATCTTTGAGGACAGGCCTAGAAAGTTCAAAATATGTTATAAAGATTGAGTGAACTTGTTTGAACAGTAAAGTACACTTTATGTGGATACAGTGCAAAAAGTTCTGATGTCTGATAGTACCTATAAGCTTGAACTGCAGAATGTTTACTAGAATGAGCTTGGAGCAGACTTCTCACTTGACGTCTTGTGTCATTGAGCATGGCCAAAAATACAGGTGCTTCAGGGCGCAGTGTCCAAACATGCTTCAAAAACTCTCCTCTTTCAGCTGCGTCACCTAGCAAAACAAAACCAGAATAAATGAAAAGAAAATTCATCAGTCTTTCATTCTATTGAATCAAGTTATTTAGACTAGATTGACATTCCCACCATGACTATGTCTACTGATGGTTGACTGAGCAGAGCCAGCAGACAGGTGCTGTTCTTCTTGCTTCCAGTGACGAGAAGATCTAGAGCGACGCAAGCGCAGCAGTAGTCCGGCTAAGACCAGTAACAGAACACATATTGCTGCACCACACAGCACCCCCACTACGATAGACAATTTTGAGCCGGACAAGGCAAGGGCACTGAGAAGAAGAGAGCCTTCTAAAATGTTTCAAGAGAGAAGAAACAAATAATTTACAGATTAGTTTTAAATCAAATCTATAAAAAATAATAGATAAATTGCAAAAGAGGTCACACAAACCTGCACACACTCGACCCATGTAATCAATTTGTGATGACCATTCTTCTCGGTATCCCAATGGACAAGATTCCACACATTCTCTTGAGCCCATTACAATGAGATGAGCACATTTAATACATTTAATGTGAATAGACCCACCACTATCGTCAGCTTGACATCTGAGGCAGCCTTCCATGGTATCATTACAACCACCTAAAATAAAATACAGGAAATTTTAAGCTTAATACACAATAAACTTAAATAAGTTGGTTTCTAATTCAAAAATATCTTTGTTTCCTCTCTGGCATATAACGCCGTTTGAATATAGCCATCCCCGTTTGAATGGTAAAAACAGTTCTTGTTGCAAAATTATGGGGGGAAAAGGAGTTGGAGCTATGAAATAAATATTTTCAATGAATATAAAAAACATTGATTTCAGGAAATATCGCAAGTGAAAGTAAACCCTGATGAGGTGCAAAATTTAAGAAGAGAACTAGGCGACAAGAGGCGTGTCTTGCCACTCTCAAGTTAATAGAGCAGCATGACTCGGAACGAAGAACGGTATACAATGAATATTTACAAAGGAAATACAACTGAATGAGATGTGAATAAAGCAAGAAAGAGAGTGAATAAATTAAATAGAGTGAATTCAAGAGAATTTGCACTTACTTGAAGCTTGTAATGAGGTCAGATCACCTATGAGGCAGGCAAGTAGCATCCAACTAACCAGCCACACGTCTCTCGACGAGATCGACATGGCACATGCATCATAAAAATGACTGTTCTAAGAACAATGAGTACAAATACATTCCTACAATGAAATCACTCAATTAAATCCATTTGGCAATTCTGCCTTTCACCACAACACTCCGCCTCCTACGAATACGTAAACACTGTGACAGGTGGCCTAAGAAACGCGATGACAAAAATAACTGCACCTAATAGAATGATACGAAAACGCATGCAAATAACATCTCGACATCAACCGAATCAATCATCCGGTAGACTTAGTTCGTTGTGTAGAAATGAAAGTCTGTCGAGTTGTGCGACTGTACTTAAAGCGGATGCCCCATCAAACAAAAACAAAAAAAAATCAACAACATGTACTGTTTCCGGCGGTGTTGAGTAGTGTTGGAGGTTGGAGTGTTGAGGTTGAGTTGCGCTGGTTTTCTAACGCCTGCTTGGCGTGAATTTGCCTGCTTCTTCGTTCCTCGTTTTATCTGTTTCGTCTTTCCGAGTATCAAAATGCCCAAAGGTATTTTTGTCTACACTATTTTGTTGCTTGTTTAAATCGTGAGAGTCTGCTTGCAAATGCCCTCACCAACTATGGAAAAATTTACTTAAAGCTTAAGTCAAACATATTTTACCCAACAGTTAATATCTAATGCATTGTATGCAAGTTTTGGTACGAACGAAAGCTTTAAGGTCCATGGTTTATATCTTTTTGGTTCATTATTTTGTTCCTGGATTTCTTGTTTCTGTGTCGCAGGTTATGTTTTTGTACCAGAGTTCTCATTGTTCGTGCCACTCCTTTCTCTCCCAAATTCTCGTTTCAAGTACAATTTTTTAAATCTGATTTGTTCTATTCCCTTGGATTCCACTCTAATATTGTTTATTGTCCCTCCATTGCTGTTGCAACATATTTACCATTTAGATTGTTACATTTCATCATTGTCTTTGTGTCTATCTTAGGTGTTTCACTATTTGTTAATATATTATTGTTTCAGGAAGGGGAGGAAAGTTCATCAATCACAAAGGCAAACACCGGTCTTTCACAAATCCTGATGAGCTAGAAGAACAGCGCAAGCGTGAAGAGAAGGAACGACAGTGGCGAGTATGTATCATTCTTAATGCTCTTTTCTTCTAGGGATCCAAGAGATATTTCTTTACTGTTTGTTTCATGGTTTTAGGCCGAAAGGGGAGAAGTCTCATCAAGCGAAGAGGAAGAAGATGATGACAAGAAGGAGGGTTCAGATGACAGTTCCTCTGAAGAGGAAACTTCATCAGAAGAAGAGGAGGTAGACCATTGCTAACAACTTTTGCCTATATAACTAGTTTGAATTTATGAAAAGATGATCATGGTTTTTTTTTCTGCTTTTTAGGGCAAGGCAAAAGGTGTAGAAGGTCTAATTCAAGTTGAAAATCCTAATAGAGTGCAGCAGAAGGCCAAGAAATTATCTACCCTTAACACAGAACTTGCTGCTGCGACTACTCCCTCTGCTCCTAGCAGTTCTAGTTCAAAACCGGAACTATCAAGAAGAGAGAGGTATGAATAGCATTTCTTTTGCATGCCTGGTTTTGTGTTTACTCTGCATGTATTTACTTATTTATTTATCTTATCTTAATCCATTTCTTCAGGGAAGAATTAGAAAAACAACGGGCAGCGGCAAATTATCAACGTCTCCATGCCAAAGGTAAAACAGAAGAAGCAAGAGCTGATTTAGCTCGATTGGCTATTATTAAGGCTCAAAGAGAAGAGGCTGCCAAGAAGCGAGCAGATGAAGCCAAAAGTAAGTTCAAAGTTCTATGAGCTTAAAGTGTCTTATCATACAAACAATTCTGTGGAAGTAATGTAACTATTTTATTCTACAGTGAAGGAAGTTGAGAAACAGAAAAAGTCTCAACAAACTCAAAAGGCCCTTGGCAAGAAGCCTTGAATGGAAAGGACAGCTATTTTACTGTGGAAGTGGTTTTCATGCTGCCATTGTTTTCTTATGAATCTGATAAGACCCAATCATTTAAATTAATTTTGAGTGATTTTAACTTAACAAAATCATTTGTGGATTTTGTTTAAACATGGTTGCTCATTATTTTGAATGCTGTGGGACTCAAGAATACATACCTGATGGATCATACTGACAAACTGTTTCTACTAGCTTTTCTCTATTTTTTCTACTCTTGTATAATTTTTCTAAATGTGGGTAGCATTCCATCTCAAACTTCATGAATGTATGTGGTAACAACTACTTGTATGATTTTGCTAGTTAATTCATGTCATCTAATCTTTTGAGTGCATTTCAACTTTAAATTTTCTGTATCATTTTGTTTTGCATTTTTTATCTGTAGCCCACTTATTTGAATTCTGTTAATGATAATGATAATGTTACATCTAGTCAGTCCTTTGGATGCACATCTATCATTTCTTTTGCAATTTTTTCACAAGTAGGTGAATTTTTATTATGAACCACATGCATCTTAGTAGAGATGGTTATGAATTATTGTAAGGTAGAGGAAAAAATGGATTTAGTTTCTCCTTATTTCGCTGCTGTGCTGTGATTTTGAGTGTGTTGATTTACTTGCACATTTTTCTTTGAAGATTCTAATTTAAAATATAATTGCAAGATAAATTTTGTTCTTACAGTACAATCTGTAACTTAAAAAAAATGCCTTGAATTACAATTGACAACTTGTAACCTCAGTGTTACTTTTATATTACCATGATAATTAATGTTACTCTGATCATAACATGTGAAGATGGAGCATCTCTCTGTCCAGAGAAATAAATCAGGAGACTACTGCAGTTATGAGATTTTGTTAGTTGAAATTTGCTGGAAGAGAGATGTGGCTTAGATCAGAATTCTCTTTTTTGCCTCAAAAATCACTGGTAGTGATGCATTCCGGCCACATAAAAAAACAAGTTCTGATGAAAATTTTTATTGAATATTGCATATTTTTATGTTCATCATTGTCATTATGCATAGCGCAGTCTAAGTCCATGAGGATTGTTTCTCTTTTCTTTTCCAAGTTTCAAGGCTTTTCATCACTGCAATAGCACCTGAAAAAGAAGCAGTAGCCGGAGTAGTGCCCATCTCGCTTGCAATTGTCCTCGCATTTGGAACTGACCCAGCACATGCCACTGCCTCCGCTCTTGGAGACACTTGATGTTGACTGGTTGAGAAGGTCTAAAGGGGGATGAGAAAAAGACACACTGTAGAGAAACTCGACGGAAATAGACACGACTCCCGGCCCGCCCCATTCGACGGGGGGCCCGGTAGCGCCGCAACGGTGATTCATCATTGCTCGTGTTCGGCTTACCCGCTCCTCGAAGCCGGTGAGCGTCCTCGGGCATCGCCTGGACGTACACCAGGGCAAGGGTGAGAAGGAGAGCGGCCAAGATGATGGTCTTCATGTTGGCTGGCGGGAATGGGGAATGCTCACTGCAGTCAGGATGTCGCGTCCGCGTGCCTGGCCTGTGGATCGCGCTGTGGAGGCTGCCGGGCTGCGCCGGGCTCCCTCCCCAGGAGCCCCCACAGTGTCACACGGCAGGCCCTGATTGGAGCGATAACGGTCCGCGTCAATCTAGAGGAAAATCACTGCAGCGGGAAAGGGCGACGGTGCACTGCGTACAGGCATCGCGGAACGGCGCCAACGGTCCCAATGGTGGGCGGGGCGTCGTCGTCTATGGGAAGTTGCCAAAATTGTGGGTCCTTTTGTGTCTTTGGGCCACAGTTTCCTTATTTTTCAACGCATCGACCTGCGGTTTGATTCCCATGACTGGGCTTCATCTCCCCTGCTATCCCACACACTAACCGAGCATGCAGTTCAAGCATTTCCCTGTCAAAACAGGCTAAAACTGGGCCAAATGTAACTTCCGTGCTGTCCATTGTCCAAAAAGTCCGTGTTCCAAGGCGAAAATCTCTTGAACTATTTGTCGGAGAGCAAATCCGCGAACAGCCTTTTGTTCCGTTGGCAACCCTTTATGACACCCTTGGATAGCAATTTATTCCAGTGACTCTTACCTCCTGCTTTATTGGATGAAAAAATGTCCACCGTGTATTGGTTTTCAAACATCGTAGGCTTTAGTTTCGCGCCTCAGCGCCGAACCTGTAGCGGGAAAAGTTCGGCTCAACGCCCAGAATCAGCAGCGTGGTTTCCTCTTTCCAGCGCGCTAGGCGGATTTTCGCTGGAGGGCACCATTCTGGCTAGCTGGACCATCGAAGGTAAAAATCCGGCATGTGTCAGGTTTGTGTGTAACATTCCGTGTCATTAATAGCAAGCTTGCTACTCGGCCTATCGATTTCGGTCCACCAGGCCATTTTGCGCTTTCACGTCTTTTAAACTTTAGGCGAGACACCTGTTCGATTTGGTGAACGGGTTGGTCCGTTTTCACGGTTTGTTTGATGATGTAACTTCCGTGCCATGCACATTTTCGGTAACTTCCGTGCCATTCCCCCATGTAAAGTATAGGGGAAAAATCGAAGAGCGAGAAAATACTGGCCTCCTTCGGAAATGCGTTTAGAATGACCCCTAGAATACAGGAAAAATACTAAAAAAAATTTAGAACGAGATATTTTTTTCATTTTTTTCGGAGCCAAAAGGACCCACAATTTTGGCAACTGCCCCTATCGCGCTCTTTGCATCCCGAGGCACCTGCCAATTGTCTCATTATCTGCCCGGCTGACGCACGAGCAATCACCATGATGCCGGCACCTAATCGGGCTGCGGTTTCATTAGTGCCCCACAAGTGGCTCCGAGAGAGAGAGAGAGAGAGGCTGATTTGTGGCCCTCGGACGGGACAGGACTCCTGGCCCGGCGATGCGGCGTGTTCCCTGCGAGGCTGACTGAGGGAGCTTTGGGTACTCCAGGCCGAGAATGCGTGCGGGACTAAGGCAAATTAAACAAAGTCGGTTAAGGCTTTCCGTTTAATTGTGTCACAATCTACGCGTTAATGTCCTGTTTCCAGAGGAATTCCCTCTTGTAGGCGGGCCCTTCTGTGCAACTGCGCTCACAGGTGTACACCACTAAGATGCCCCAGTCAATGCTCTGGTCCACATTGTCTAAGGACAGGTGGTTCAAGAGTTGGGGTAAAATCTGTCAACAAAATGTGGATCCAAATGAACATGAACCAACCTGCAGATAGTACCATTCATGAAACAAGCCGAAGAAATAGGATTACCTGAAACTCAAAGACACGAGGTGAACCACAGTGAGTGCATGGAGGAATATCAGCATCTGAAGGTCGGTGGTCATCTGATAACCACAGAGGTTCTCCATTTTGTTGATACCTAAGAACTTGACCTGGATTATATGCAATCCGGGTCTTGAAGGATTTAAAAATTTTGTCTTCATCAAATGCCGCCATTTGGAGAAGATCAGCATCTACAGTGTCATCCTCTGTGCAAGAGGAGAAAAAACAAAATTACAAACTACACATCATTGAGGGCTGGAACTTGCTGATTCCTGTACCAACCTGCAAAGGTACCAGCTTTCCCTTCAAGCTGAAGGTTCTCAAACTCTTTCAATCTGGCTTTTTCAGCCTCATCATTATCGTCATCTTCATCACAGTCTGAATCCACAGATTTGACACCATCTACTGCATCATCCCCCTCTGGTTCCACGATTAACTCATATTCGGGTAATAAGCAAGAGGACTTGCCTATCACATTACCATGGTCTCCTAAAAAATTAAAATAATTTGCAATGGGAAAACACTTTAAACAGTAGAAAAATCACAACACAGTAAATCAATGCTCACCTGCAGTACATGCCTGTTTGTGGTGGTCTCGCCAGTGAAGTACTTGATGGTTTCGACTACAGTATTTCACCTTTTTACAGCGCCCACAGTGACTTGATCCACTATTGCCACAGGCAGCGCACACATCTGACCACTTGTCAATCTTACATTCAGGGTGCCAATTTTCTGAGTCTTCAGGCGGGTCAAAAGGGTAAAATTCGTTTTGACGTCTCAGTTGAGATCGTAATACCAGAAAGCAGGAGTTGTCATTGCTGGAATAGCACTTAGCATTTCGACACATAAAGACAAACAATGTTCGGTGGAAGCAGTCGTCTCTAATTTCAATAGGAGCATAGACTTGGCACAGAAAAATGCAAGGCTCATGACATTTTTCACATTCCATTTCTTTGGAGGACGGCAACTGAGATAAATGTAGCCAGGCTGGTCGCCCTCCCACCTTACTGGGAAAAAATCTGCTGTCTAGTTTCCAAGATTCTACTTCGTCAACGAAGCCTACATCCACTCTGGTACCTTCTTTCGCCATGACAGGAACAGTGGCGAGTTAAGGTCTATCGAGGAAACCAAACAGGGTGCCGACCGCAAACAATATTTGGATAAACAATCCTCTAAATTCCTAACCAGCACATGCTTTGACAGGTTATGTCGTGTGTCGTGCTAAAACAATTATTTGCACCACAACACTATATGCAGAAAGCAACTGTTATGAATTTTTGTGTTGTTTCCTTGGCTTCCTCTTGGTTGCCTTTGGTGTGTTTTTCCTTTATTTAAATACTGAGGTCTCGCTTTCGTGTGGAAAATGAGTCGACATAGTGATGCAAAAAGGGACGCAGATCCCGCTGTGGAATTGGAGAGTCAATTTATACTACGCCTGCCTCCGGTATGTAAAAGTCTTGTCCTCTCAATAAAGCTAGGTTATACGTCTTTGACGTTTCTCTTGTGACCTGTAATCGGAAACTTTTCGTTGACAACTTCGCGCATAGAATAAAGTATTTGGATTAGTTTTTTTTTTTTTTCAAGTTTAGGATGCGTTTTAGTGGACTTTCTTAATTGTCTACGTGGAGCTGCATTTTACTGCGTAACTGGTGACAATTTATCTATCGTTGTCTTTTCAGGAGCCATCTAAAGTATTACGAGAAGCAATAAGAAGTGGTGCTTCTAATTTGAAAGACCGTTTGTTCATTAAATTGGAAAATGATTTACGTTATGGCGAAGTGAGGATGGATCACTGGCTTATGAATGCCAAGGTATCGACAGAATCTTTCCATCTCAAATGAATTTCATTTTAAATATTGTTCTAGCTGCTAGTTTTTTCTACCAGCCTTACCTTTTCTGTTGGATTTTTTTTTTAGCTTGTAGATCTGCCAACTATAATAGAGTCTATGAAAACGATTGATGGGAAGAACTTCTACAAAACAGCTGACATATGTCAGGTAAATATTAAGTCTTCTCCTCCTAGTAGGCTTATTGATGTGTGCTCAGCATCTCTTGTGTTTTTAACACTAATCCATATACTTTACAGATGCTTATCTGTAAAGAAGAAGACGACCAAACCACAACTGATGAGGAGTCACCAGCAAAGAGAAAAAAGGATCCTAACAAGGTTGACAAAAAATTCTTATGGCCTCATGGAATAACACCGCCACTTAAAAATGTTCGCAAGAGACGATTCCGTAAGACATTAAAAAAGAAATATGTAGAGGCTCCAGAAATAGAAAAAGAGGTATGTCTCAGATTTGTTTCGGTTCACCTGTTGACACAAAATGCAAAACTTACATCAGAGAATTTCCTTGTCAGGTGAAGCGATTGTTACGGGTTGACAATGAAGCTGTGAAAGTGACATGGGAAGTTATTAATGAGGAAGATGATAAGCAAAAGCCAGGTTCCTCTAAGGAGGATAGAAACATGCGAGGTGGGGATGCATCACTGGAAGCAAGTACTCAGCACAGCGTGGATGTTGGTAAGTTTTGTCATCGTTCTTGTTTTAACAATATTCTCAAGAGCTCATTCAATTCATGGCTTTATGTTTGTTTTTGTTTAATGCAGCCGAGCATGACATATTTGGAGAAGCTGTTAGTGATTCTGAAGAAGAAGAAGAAACTAATATTAATATCATGGAGATGGAAGATGAAAACAGTAGGTTGTCAGCTGATGACAGCATGCATACCATGGATTCCACTTCCATACAAGTAAGTGCTCCTTCTTTTTTCTTTACTTCACTTTTTCGGAGCAAGGACCTCTTTAATTTTTACTTATTAATGTTTTTCATCCCTCTCTTTCAGGCTGCTCACAGCTCTGATAAAGGTCAGCAGCCTCTCGTTACTCAATTTAGTCATGAAATGTTCAGTGGACAAGAAGAAAGCAACCACAGTGTTGGTATCAAGCACGAGCTTGAGAGAGAACATGACAGTGAAAGAGACTTTGAAAGATCATTTGATCATGATCATGACCAGTCAGGACTCATGAAGGAAGAATCAACAATGGGTTATGAAGATGATGATGACCATGACAGACCAAGCAGTGCTGACCAGCATAAAGACTCAAAGTTCAATTTGGATCTTGAAGGCATGTCAAGTGATTCAAATATGTTTGTTCAAAGTAAGTCTTATGTTTATTTACTTTCAGTATCACTTCTCTTCAAATACAGTACCATTTCTAACTGAAGTCAATGTTACACTAGGGCGTATGCGAAAGGAGCAGTTGGAAGCTGAACTACCTGAACTCAGAGCCCGATGCCAACAACAAGAACTTGAGATATCCAACCTTGAAAACCAAGCCTTACGCCAAAGGTTCCAAGAAAAACTTGACAATATGCTGACAGAGTTGTTGCAAAAAGAGCAAGAGGTAGGTCTTTTATTCCCCTGTGTTTTCTGTCTCTCGTTTTTGTATTTTTAACATTGGCTTGCTTGTTTGTTCTCTTTGTAACAGTACCAGGACCTGTGTCAAGATTGACGGGATATTTAAGACAACTATGCAATATGTGCATCGGAACTTTTAGACCTTACGTGTTGTTATTGAATAATGTACAAGCTTGAAAGCTTTTGTTTATTTGTCTTTTGTTGGTACTATTAAATGTTTTTTGATCATTCTTTAAATGATTGTTCAAAAATTTCATTTGAAATATTAGATGACTTTTTTATTGTACATTTGTGGTTTAGGTTAGTAGTTTCAACATGGATGAAAAAGGTGAACACGTAATTGAAAAAAGTGAGGAAATGAAAGAGAAGAAAAGGATTACAGTGAATGAAACAATTCCATCAACAATCTCAAAATCCAAAACTTTTCTGTCAGCATGCAGTCCTCCTGAATGCACATGCCTTTCTGACCTGAGGATACTGCTTGATTGTTTAAAAAGTACATAGTTTCTGACCTGCCAGGGATCTGAATTTTGTAAGCATCATTTAGAAAGACAAAAGTTAAAAAATGGAAATGATTAAAATTTTAAAAAATATGTTTGATGATTAGAAAACAATTTATGGTGGCAGAAGTGTTGAAAGGAAACTGCGCAAACGAACTCCTGCCAAAGGATGACACAGCTGCACAGCTGCGCAAAGCTCTTCTGGCACAATAATTTCTCTTGTTTTCATTGCTTCCAAAAGTTCAATTCGAGTAGTATTCAGGATCCTTGACTGTGCTCTGAGATCATCAGGATCCACTGATTTTTTTTGGAGCAGCTTCATGCGCTCATTCACGAGGTGTCGCAATCCTAGATCAGCCTGATGTATGACACTTGCCATACATGCTTGCCTGGAGGCCTCTCCTAGCTCAGACCAATCATCAACAGGTTCAACTGGATTCAGAAGTGCTTTCGATACAATACTCCCAATTTTTCGCACTGTCTCTTCATTTGAAAAAGGTGTATGTGCCACCAATGGTAATGTGTATTGCTCCCATGGCTTGCCTTCTGGAGGTTCCATTCTATCTGCCATTTTCTTAATAACTTCATCAGGCACTCTCTCTTCCCTAGAGCGCCTGCTGTTGTATACCATGGCTGATGCAACGGAACATTCAAGGTACAACTGACAAAAGCCAATATTGTGACGTCGCGCCAATTGGAAATACGAGTAGCGCATGCTACTGTAGTACATGTTGTCATCAATGACAATTACAGTCCTCTTCTTAATGACAATTTCACACTCGAAATCCATCTTGATATATTTGTTTTCCACTCCACATTTCAATGACAGCTTGTGGATTTCTTTATCAGTGTGGATATCCTTCAACATATACATCATTTTCTCCACCATGGTAAGAACTTCTTGTCTTGCATCTCGCCAGTTGCCACTATCTGGGTCAGTGCTGCACCGATGAGCAAGATCAGCAGTGATCAAAGTGTCATAGCATATGTGAATCACATTCAAGGACAGTGTGTCCTCTGATGCTTCTCGCTCTGTGGAAAAATATTGCTTGAGGAAATGAGATAAAGTGGTCTTTCCACTTCCTGGCAAGCCCACTAGTAAAGCAAGGCAAATATCAGCAGCTGGTTGAGTACCCGACATGATGTAAACCACAGAAAGACGTTGGAAAATTATTAACAAAAAGAAAAATAGAAATCTCTATCTATAACAACCTTATCAATAATGTTCATAAATATTAAGCAGATACAACTTGGTCTTGCGGCAGAGCTCCAGCTGCTGCTTGTTCAATTTGCAAAGCTGCTTGGTTCATTTCTTCCATTCGTTTATTAATGATCATTGGCTGCAGCTCCATGAAGACTCCCATTACTTTGTGATTCACTTTTATATGCTTCTTAGCACACAAGTCTACACAATTTTCCTGAGAGAGTAGAAAACACAGACAGTCGTGAGCAAAGTTCAAACAGGTAATAATACCAAGATTTTTTCTCTTATAAAATAAAATGTTACCTCATCACTGGCTAGATCTCTTGAATAGAAATTGTTGACACAATTTTGGAAACAAGTATGTGACATATAGTTGTATAATTGGAGGAAGTCCTTAAACTGAAAAATCAAAGAAACAATATTAATAATTTGAGGTCAAAGGGATGCAATGCATAAAGTTATAGCTTGTGGGACATCATGCACTCTCCACCTATGTATCAGGGTAAAATGGGGTAAAAATCAATAAAGCCACGTGAGGCGAAGTAAAGAGGGAATTCCTGATGCAAACTAGATTAAGTTAAAAATAAACACAAAATCACAATAAATTAGCTTTCAACATTTCATAAAAATGGCAAAGACGTCGAACGACATCACGTAATAATTGTTAGAAAAGCGCCGTTCGTAAAAATTTTATGGGATGGAAAGAACAATCTCCATATTCGAAGTTACATGCGACTTTAAAAAGTTACCACAATCAAATAGTCTCAGAACAGCTGACGTTTCTACAGGTTAGAACCCGCAACTGACAGTCACTCAGATCTATTTTCCGTACGTCACACACAAAGCATGAGAGAAAGGTTGCACAAAATGCGTGAAACGGTTGCGCAGTGTCTTACATTTCTCAAGGCATTTTGTTCCATGACTTTAAATAGATAAGATCTCGGTATGCGTCCAGGAAGTTGGGTTTGCCCTCGGTGAGCATGTGGGTTGGGGTGAGAGGGGGGTGAGGGAGGAGTAAGGGGGTTGGGGCTTTTGCCTGCGAATAGCTATTTTGTCTTCTGCTATACGGCACCCCTTGCCGTTGCAACAACAAACAGCAAAACTGGTTGTGTGTTAAGATGTTTCAAAAAGTGAGGGCTATTTGCAAGTCTTTCGCTTGTCGTGAATTTAACGTCGACCTTTCACGAAGCTATAGTGCTGTCGGGAGGACAATATTTGCTCTTTCCTCCGGTAAATATGCATGTCGAGTCCACATTAACCTACAGAACTCATGTTCTCTTTTGTTTACACCAAGCAGAAAGAATAACATTAATACGTTCCTATATTTTCAGGCCGAGGCAAAAGCGGTGTCGCAGTAGTGCGAGTGTCAGGATCCCAGTCAAGAGTCGTTCTTTCTGCAATAGCTGACGAAACTTGTTTGAGGAAACCTCGATTTGCTCAACTCCGAACACTTCGAGATCCACAGTCAAATGATATTTTAGATAAAGCTATTGTTATTTGGTTCCCAGGCTAGTGACCAACTATGTTTACTCTCATGTTTCAGTTTAAGTTCTCCGTTTTGTTGCTGTCAAATAGTTATTGTGACTATCTGTTTTAGGGCCAAAGAGTTTCACTGGTGAAGACATATGTGAATTTCAAGTTCATGGAGGCTTAGCCGTAGTTAGCGGGCTACTGCATGCCCTTGGGAAAATGCCTGGTTTGTATCCAGCTGACCCTGGTAAGTGACAAACAAAGCAATTAATTAATTAGTCAGAATAGCAATATTTATAAAAATTGTAACATTGCAGGGGAGTTTTCAAAGAGAGCTTTCTTCAATGGATCAATGGATTTAACTGAGGCAGAAGGGCTGGCAGATTTAATTCATGCTGAGACAGAGATGCAACGCAAACAAGCATTGCATCAGATGGGCGGTTCACTTCATATATTGTACAACAGATGGCGTACAGTTCTTTTACAGGTGCTGTTTGCGCCTATAGCATGAATTTTTTGCTGTTTCTGTGCAACCTCTTCAGTTTATTCTTTTGCTTTATTTTTTCAGAACTTGGCACATGTAGAAGCTTACATTGACTTCAGTGAAGATGAAAATATTGAAGATGATGTAATGGCCAATGTCATAGACTCATTAAGGAAACTATCCCAAGAAGTTGAGGTGTGTTGTAACTTAAATAAATTCAAATTCAATCTTAAGCCTTACAAATTAAAGTGAAACTACATGTTTTGTCCTCAGACACATCTAACAGATGGTCGTCGCGGTCAAAGATTGCGAGATGGAGTTCAAGCTACTATAGTTGGAGAACCAAATGTCGGAAAGAGTAGTCTTCTTAATTTACTTTGTACGAAAATTAATCAATTCAGCCTGGAAAACAAGTCGTGAGGAAACCTAGTTTTTTAATCAGAAAAACTCTTTGTTTTAGGTGATAGGCCTGCAGCAATAGTCACAGCAATTGCAGGAACCACTCGAGACGTTGTGGAACAGTACATCAATATTGGTGGATATCCTCTATCCATAGCAGATACTGCAGGCATACGAGGAGAGTCGACTGTCAATGATGTAGTGGAAAAGGAAGGAATAGCTCGTGCCAAACAGTATGCAAAATCAGCTGATGTCATTTTGCTTGTAATAGACTCTGAAACATTTCTGAGCGCAAGCAAATGGCAGGAGCACCAAGACATATTAACTTTTCAGGAATTTGTTAAATCACACATGTTACAGTTGGGATTAAAAGATTTCTTTAATGGCCAACCTTGCATCTTAAAATCAAACCAGGAAGGATCTATAATGTAAGTCCTATAAAATCACCAAGATTTTCAAGTAAATGGATCAGAGTGCAGTTCTTTAACAATTTTTTTCCAGTGATTCTGATACACAGTTGCAGTGTTTAATAATTATGAGCAAAATTGATCTGATTATGGACGAAAGTATAAAGAAATCTCTAAACAAGTTACAAACTCAATTTTTAAATGTTGTTGTTCTGTCTTGCCTCAATGGTGATGGTCTCCCTGCATTGCTACAGAAGTTAGAATCCATTTTGGAATATTTGTAAGTATTTTAGTTTCACTGTCATGTAGCAGGTTTGCCCCAGCTCCTTGTCTGGAAGTAGTATCTCACTGTTCTTTAAATTTTAGGTGTGGTAACCCAAGCCAGGAGAGTCCAGCTCTTAGCCAAGTAAGACACCAGCACCATCTGATAGATTGCCTGGAAAATATACAGGACTATCTTAAGAAAACAAGTTACCTCTCCGAGGCTCAAAAAAATGCATCACTTGAAGGTTCACAAATAACTGACCTAGCGATATGTGCTGAAGATTTAAGAAGAGCTGTACAGCATTTGGGGAAAATAACTGGTCATGTAACCACAGAGCAAATTTTAGATGTTATATTTAGAGATTTTTGTATTGGTAAATGAACAAATTAAAGCAAAAAGTATTATCAAGTATGTTAACAATCTATCCCTACACATTTAAATTCACTAGCTATCAATACCTATAAAAGCTGTCTCGAGACGGAATCTTCATCAACAGTGGACTGAGTTTTGATAGCATTCATTTCTCGTCTGACTTCTTGGATGGCTTTGGCCAAGGCTTCTGGGTGCACTCCAGCTTCACACAGTCGAATGCAGATAGCTAATGACTCCGAATCCAAACCAGTATTCAGTAGTCGAGAGATGCGCGACAACAGCGCCATTGCTTCCCGCGCTCTTAAACTTTCAGTCGCGTCTGCCATCCCTAAACAAACAAATTAAACGAAAATCCTTTAGTCACAATTTGCTTAGCAAGAACGAAAACAAGACTAGGCTTTAACCTCACTAAAATGTTAGTAGAGGAGTTCTGTCAGAGTGCAATGGGATGGAAATGAGACTTCACTGAACTTATTATCTAGAACCTAACACACGTGTATCACTAACATAGACCACTCACTTCATGAGGTACGTATTCCTTGCCTCAAACTTTAAAAACTGAAGACTTTTTTTCTCACTGTTGACTGCTTTTGAAAACATCAACAACACAGAAACAAAAGAAAAAGGACACCCGGAAATATATATGAAAAATTTCTATCATATGACAAATTTGCCTTATGCTGTGTATACTTTCTGAGTTGAATTCCCTTGACAAAATTGTAGAGTAACGTCCACGAAGATGGGGGTGAGGCGACTTCAAACATACCTTGAGCAATATTGTCCAGATGCTTGTTATGAAGTCAGTATTGAACAAATCGCAAATAATTATAGGTGTGTGGTCTGAGAAGTATCCATTTACTGTTTACTCTACTGGTTCTACTTGTGCCATATTTTCTGATTCGTTGTGATTTGTTTTTGGTTTTTGACAGGCAAACACACAACAAAGAACCCGTTATTGTAGTGGATGGATCTTGCTGCTATCGCAAGTTGTATGGTGGTCTTGACTGGGTGTGCGGAGGCCAATATAAAGAGCATGTCGATTCAATCACAAAATTTATTGACAGTTTCGAAAGTTTGTATCATGGTCCCCTTGCAATCGTTCTTCTTACTTTGAATTCGATCAGTTCTTTCATGACCTTTTTCAGGACTGGGCATAAAACTTGTTCTTTATTTTGATGGTGCCACTCAAGAGAGTAAAAGACCTGTTTGGGTCAGCAGACGTTTACAAAGTATGGAAAAGGCTCATGCCATTTTTGATGCTCTGAAGGCTGGACAAGAAGTAAAAAGAATGGATAAGGAATTGTATGTATTACCAGCAGGTGCTGGTTCTGTTATGTCCTCTATTTCCAGAACGAGGTGTATGGTAAATATCCGCTTATTATAAATAATAATATTATTATTATTATTGTTATAGTATTGAGGCAGTAAGAAATCCATGAAGAAAATGGGTCAACTTTCCAATAAATTCTTTAGAATGTTTGAATATATCCTTTGTTTGCCTAGGTTCAGCGATCATTGAAAGAGTGCGATGAAGAAATAACTGAGTATGCTGCAAGAAACAAGTGCTTTGCTATTTTGGCACAGGATTCTGACTTTGTTATTTATAAAAATGGAGCAGATTATTACCTTTCTTCAGAGAACCTCAACATTGACACAATGACCACTTTAGTTTATGATAAAGAAGCATTAGCAAGACATTTAAATCTTGATGTGCGGGATCTTCCTGTATTTGCATCCCTAATGGGCAATGATTTCATACCAGCTGATGATTTGAAGGTGGGATTTTTTTCCAAATTTGTTTCTGTGCTGTTCTATACTTATTCTATCTTTTAATAATCATATTATTTTCAGCCTTTTCATAACTGGTTGATGGGTAAACGACGACATAAAAATTATGTGCAAGCCTTAGTGCTGAGAGTAGCTGACTTTGTCTATAAGCTTCCGAAAGGTAATGACTTGTTCTCATGTTTGAGAGAATTGTCTTATGATATTTTCAGAACACCACATCGTGCTAAAGATTTACGTCAAAGTATTCTGAGTTACGTGAAGTCCTCCAAGGATATTCTTCGTGAGTCACCTTCATATTATATTGGAAGTTTCGTGCACCAATAAGATATCAATTAATAACTTCAATTTATTCATAATATCCAGGTATAATTGACAATAGATGTGAGAAATGGGATAAAATATTGTCTGTAGCCCATGACAACTATATAAGCATGGCATCACCATCATATGTTTACAACATATTGCGGAAGCTACCGTTTGAGATGAGCACAGCTTTGGAAGATTGTCGTATTACTGTGCAACCCTCAGCTGCTGCTCTAAGGCTCATGCGGCAGCGAATTTATGGTGTAGCCCTTCGAGAATACCCAGGAGGACCTGACGGACTTGTCGTTGAAGAATGGTGTATGAGCGGACCTCAGAGTTTAAAATGTGCTTTAAAAGTTAATGCGATTCTTCCCCCAGGTATGTTATCCCCCGTCTTGCTTCTTAACTTTTAAAGTTACTACATTTCTTTTCAGACCTCTCTGCTATGCTGAATATGGAATTGACTTATTTTTCTAGATGATAGCCCGCTTCTTCTAGATCTTTGGTTCAATGATTCAGAAGAACTTATCATAAAAAAATTTAAACTCTTGGCTTGGATTGGGTCTTTCCATTTGACATCTACCAACCTGCACACATTACCTCATCCGCTCCTCCCTGCTGTAATAATATTGTCTTACCTGTATCATGTAAGAACTCTCCATATATTGCTACACCTTATTTCCTTTTTTTAAATTGTTGCCCAAGTTGCAGTTTGTTACATTATTTTTATTTTTTATATCTGTAGGATGCTGGCATTCTTTTGGATTGGGAAGTTAAGGTATTTGCTGCAGTGATTATTGATGTACAAATCATGGAATCAAAAGAATTATCAGCAGTTACGGTTAATAAAGTAGATGTCAGAGGCGTTCAGCTAGCCACTTTGTTTACAAGATCCATAACTCATTTGGGATTGGCAAATTCAATTTGTGGCAACCCTATTGAAGTCCATTGGGTAAGCTGAAACTGAATCATATTTTTCCTGTCCTCATACATTTGACTATAACTTGCACTTCTCCTATTAGACAAGACATCCTCAACTCTTTGATGGCAAACTCTTTCAAATCTCATACTTAAATGGGAAGTCTGTTCCTCCTTCACCAAAGGTATGGGTATACGAATAAAATATAATGCAGAGTTAAAGAAATACAAAGCATAGTTGCATCCAGATGATTATGGCTAATTTTATTTCTTGTTAAAATTCATCTAATTTACAACTTTTTTCCAGAGGGGAAATATTCAACAATTCAATCAACTATGTGATGTAGTCCTTAAGCATTAATGCATTTAAGATGATTTAAGGACCAGATCAGAACAAAGCAAAGGCATATTTACAAGTAAGATAAATATTTAACATTAGATAACATTTTACAGAAAAAATATAGTTCTAAAAAATCAACATGACAATATTGAGAATGCTCGACAGTATTTGTTTTATCTAAGTTTGATGCTGTAACTAATGAGATCTAGCTATTTCTGAAAAGAATTCTAAAATATCACTTATGGTGAATTCCAGAGCTATCATAGATCCTGGATAACAACGTTGAATCAAATCCTCTACAGATTTGTATTGTTGTATGAACTCTTCTTGCATTGCTCGCCACACAACCTGGAAGAAATTACAATGTAGAATGCAGCTGCATCCATCTTTAAATTGAAGATAGACAAAAAACCAGTACCTGCAGTAAATTCTCCTGCTCACAGAGATGTTTATCTACTTTACGGTAAAGGTTCACCAAACCACGCTTCACTTCCCTTGCTGGATACTCTTTTATGACTTTGCGGAGCTCTTGTTTGCTGAAAGCCATTTGGTAGCTGATTTCTGATTCTTTGACACCTTGATTGACCTTAGCTTGAACTCCATCGAAGAATTGCTGAAATATAAACACATTGTTATTATAGTTGTTATTTTTTCACCCACAGTCAGTATTAATGTTCTCTTAAGGATATATTAGTTGCAACTTACATTTAGCTTTTCTAGAGGTCGCCCGAAATAGCGAGTAACATAAGCACGCATGGCATCATTATACCTCTGTTTAGCCTCCTTGCGGAGGTTATCAAGAACACCAATCTTCAGTTGAGAAAGTAGGGCAAAAAGATGGTGGTAGTTTTCTGTAACAAATCAAGGTCTATATAGCAATAGCTGCATTGAGCACACACCAAGCAAGTAAAACAAATATGAGAAACACTCACCCATTTTCACAACTTCACTTGGAGTTTTGGGATGTTCAGCAGCAATGCGCGGAATGGCATCAAACATAGCCGAAACTAATTTAGTGTACCACTTATCCAAGTCAGCCCTACGGTCTGAGTTTTTGAATATTTCCTCAGACGTTCGTGCAAAATCCTGGAAAAGAACATAAGTTTAGTGCAAACCATGGTAAATCATCACCATGCTCATTTATCAACAGCATCAACTGTACCTCAAAATTATCAACAAAAGGAAGGATTCCACATGTACCCTTCCTATTTGGTCTGGTGTCTTCAATAGATCGAAGTTGAGCTTGCATGAACCGGTCAAAATTTCTTTTCACTTGTACAAGGGCAGAGGCAAAACTCATACTGAGGAAGGAACCTGTGTCCTGAGCTGACATTACATGTTGACTGAGTCTCACCAGCACATACATACAATAACTAGGGTAAAGAAATAAGTGAAATAAATATATTGATGCCCATCTTTGACAGTACCAGCAGTATAATAGGAGAAAAGAGGATTACTCACAAACTATCTACTTTCTCATAGTGGCTTACAAAGTTGACAAGTTCGGGTTCAATACACCCAAAGAGGTCTGCCATCATACGACGCACTTCTTCATTTACCTGTTTCTCAGCACGTTTGAGAGGAACAGACGGATCAACATCTTCTCGTGGCACTCCAGCCCCTTCAGCAATCAAACCATCTAATGTTGTTTGAGTATTCTAAAAAATGGTGAAGAATTAAAATGACTGGATAACTTAAGTTAGTCTAGAGTCATGCTATAGTTGTTGTTTGAATAATCATGTTGTTATACCTTTGTGGAAGGAGATAAAACATCTAACTGGAAAAATGATATGCAGAAATTCTGTTCTGCAAGGCAAACAGGCTCCAGCTGAGCCAAGACACGCTCTAATACTTCATCAAAGCGGCGCCTCTCTGCTGCACTAGCACTGGCATCAGTGCCCCACTGATCTCTTTCCACTCCTAACAGCAAAGTCAACGTGCCTCCAGCTGCTCCCCCAGAGACTCCACTGACCACATTGGCCGCTCCCTGCTTTAGTTTGCCTGCAAGATCTTCCCGTGATCCACTACCTTTACCTACATGTTAAATTATTTTGTGAGAAAACTGCACAAATAAAGGTTGCTGGAAATAATTTTCATGATTATTACGTTACCTTTCTTGTCAGTCCGAAGACCTGAAATTCTAAGCTTTGCCTCCTCAAAAAACTGTTTGGTGTCTCTATCATAAAGTTTACTAATAGCTCCAGTGTAAACTCGCATTAATGCAGTATAAGCTTTTCGGTCCATTGCTTTCATCCAATGCATAAGCTCTGCATAGACTACCAAGTCCCTGTGGATAGATTCGTGCCTTGGCAAAGTTAATTCATTTGCATGAAAACTTAAGGTCTCTCCAGCATCATTACCCTGAAAATGGAAATGGATCATTTAGTTTATAGGCTGTGGTATGTTGCAGTTTGCCAGCAATTGTGATGAGCAATACTAATAATGAGCAGTACTTACAAGGTGAATGAAGAGGTTGTTCAGATGCCTAGATATTGTTTGCGAGAACTTGGCTTTCCATTTATCAAACCGTTTCCTCTGTTCCTGAACAGCAGCCATTCTTAGAAGAGCTGGGTGTATTTCGGCATTCATTGCATTTAGGAGGGCTTTGCCTGCCGCAATGGCATCAGCCAAACCAGTTGCACTAGTAAGATCTGCTTCAGTTAATGCTGCTTGGTGCTTGCCGTCAAGTTCAAGTTGGAACTAAAGGGTACAAGGAAAAATTTTAAGTTAAAAGGACTAGAGAAGATACTAGCAGCAACGTAATAATAAAATGCGTAGATTACTTACAATAACATTTTCTAGTTCTGCCAGAAGTTTTTGATTATTACAGTTCACAATATTGATCATTGAGTTTTTCTCTTCCATTTTTTCCAATGCATCCCTGACATGACTTATCACTTCTTCGTACATGTTAAGACGAGTCTCCACGACATCCACCTCGGTTAAAGCAGCCTCAATTTGTGTCATAAGCATTTCTACTTGCTCTTGTGAAGCCAAGACACTTTGAACATTTTCCTGTACAAATGATTAAAAAAAAAAAAATTCAATGAATAACTTTTTACAAGAACATTAAATATATTTTTATTAAGTATAAAAATTACCCCGTCAAGGACAGACAAATCCCTTGCAATCATTTCCATAAATGCTTCTGCATTACTGATAGCAAATCCACATTGAGACATAAGTTTTTCCAAGTCTTGCTGTTCTCGGTCAGTGAGGGCATGATAGTCTTCAGCTTCTGTTGGTTCAACAAACCCTGGAACAAACAGGAAATTACAGACTTTACCTTCATTGTCTTTATATAGTTGTGCTTTACTTTCTAACAAACCACAATCTCACCTGGAGTCAGTATTACTTGAGTTTCTGGCAATAATCCAGGGTCACCAATCCAGTCTTCAGGTAGATTTCGGAATTCTGGCTTTTCCTTGGGTAAATGAATGCAGCATTGCTAAATAACAACATACATAAGTAAATTTTTAACTTTTTAAAAAATAAATTTTTTTTTAGGCAAAAATTAGCCAATGGAAATTGCTAATACCTTCCAAAGCAGGACAAGAAAATTTTGTCTCTCTTGTATATTACTACAGTACCATCGGAACACCTTCTCAAAATGTAGGTCCAAGTCATTACAGTCCTGGAAGAGAACTCATTGAAATCATTGAATCTTTCACATTCAGTCCCCAAAATGTGTGCAAATAAATCAAAAACAAAGAGAGTTTCGTATCGTACCAGGTTAGGAGTTCGCCCATCGACGACTCTTAAAGTATTAAGTTGCCAAGACCGTTTCTTTTTCAATACATTTTTGTCTGTTTTCTTTACCTAACAACAGATACAAATTTGCAGCCTGTCAGATGCTCCACAGAAGTAGCACAATCAAAGGAATGTTGAATAAAAGACTAAACTAAAAGGGCAGCCTACCTGATAAATAGTTACACAAATTGGTGTTTCCATTGTAACAGCTAGGCATAGATAGCTGATCTTCTTCTTTTTCAGGACTTTACTAACGTGCATCACTGCCAACAAGCGTTCATCATTAGGCTGAAAAACTTCCCTCTGGAGGGTGTGTCTTATAGCTGCCATGGTGTTTGATGAGATTAATGTCTGAAATAAATAAATGAGGTAATATATTAATCACCGAGAGTCAACAGTTTTGATCCACTACAGATATTAACATCAAGAGCACGCTGTGACATAATGTGACAATAAATAGGCACTTCATAATGAAATAAAAGAGACAGATTAGTCTGAAGCATCAGTACACCTTTTCAAAACAGTTTTGACAACTAATTATTTACAGGTTAGTATTTCACTTTCAAGTGACATTTCAAGTATTCCTTTCACCTTGAAAATCAAGAAGAACAATATGTAAACTTGTTTTCACTGGCAGGTGCCGTAAAATCAAACAACGGAGGCGACACCGACACCTAAGCTTATGAGTTTTGCCTTCATTTTTAACGAATCAACAAATTTATGTGGGTTGATCCCGTCCCCCTCTCTTCCTCCTTCCCCTTCCTCCCCCTCCCCCCCTTTTCTCTGTTTTAACTCCTTTTGAAAGTTGTCTCAACGAGAAATAAAGAACGTTCAATCTCGTTTATAGAATTTTTCTTAATCAATTTAATGTATTTTTATCTAAATGTTCGAGAGATAAACACTTAAACAACGCTTTACCGGACCGGTGAGGCCGGTTGCCTCGCCCTCCATGCTGAAGAAGAAGACCAAAAAGACAAACAAAGTTCATCGCGGAGTCGGAGTGTTTTGATGGTTTTTCAGAAGAGATGTGTGATATGTAGTGCTATATTCCAGAGGAGTTTGGCGACTCAGTTAATCTTGCCGGGGTGAATTTAAAGTGAACTCTTGATACAAGAACCTCACCGAACGACTTCTTGTCAGACTTAGCGTCCTTTCTGGATCATCTGAGTGCTAGTTTGCCTCTACGCTGCCTAGTTGTGTTGTGCTGTCGAACTTGCCGAATCGAGGTGAAAAATGGCGGACTCAAATGCTGCTTCGAATCAAATTAACCTTGCAGCTGTAAAACGCGTCGACCCGTATGCCAGAGACATTTTGGAGAAGGCCTCTCAAGTGGCACTGTATTCGTTCAACGGCGAGAAGAATGAATGGAAAAAGACTGAAGTTGAGGGTGCCCTTTTTGTGTACAGTCGCACTGGGGAGCCGTTTCACAACATTCTTATTATGAACCGCCTTAGCACTCAAAATTTGATGGAACCGGTAGTGCAAGGTCTGGATATTCAAAGACAGGAGCCTTTTCTCCTGTACCGGAACACCAAGTGCGACATCAATGGCATATGGTTCTATGACAAGGACGAGTGTGTGAGGATTGCAGGAGTCCTGGACAGACTGTTACGGGAAGCTCCTCTCACAAACTGCCCTCCACCGGCATCCAAACCGGTGCCAGTTCCGCTGCACAACAATAACAACAATGGTACTGACATATTCAGCATGCTTAGTAAAGCTCAGGAAGATTATTTTTCCAAGACTGTTTTATCGCCTAACCATGCACATGAAGCTCGCCCTGCAGAAACTCCGCAGACAGTTTTGGACTTTTTTGCAAAGGCCAGCACTAGCTCCAACAAACCAGTGGTGACGCCGTCTCCTGCTCTATTCATGGCCCAACATGCTGCTCAGAGAGTTCAGGCCCCAGAGGCGCATGACCCTAGTTTGAGGCCCATTCTTCAACGCTTGAAATCTAATCCAGTTCACAGTGTTGAGCACATAGAGAAGCAGCAAAGATCAGTGACGCCACAGCAGATGGATGTGCCACCTCATGAACAAAAGTCTGCTCAAAAAGAACAGAAGCGAAGTGGATTCAAACTGAAGCCTGCAAAAGAAAACGGGAAAAGCAAAGCACAGGGTGCAGGACATGCAGCCAACAACTCTGTCTCTGCAGTGGCAAATGGTATCAACTTCCTGCGAATCTCTCCAACAAATGTTGCCGTGTCACCACAACAACCTCAAGGTGTTTTGGCTTCTCCTCGAACCCCAGGAACAACAGGCCCTATGCATGACTCGAGACCTGATGTCACCCCAAAGCCAGCTCTAATGCCTCCTGTCATGTTCACTTCATCACCTGCATACGATGCATCTCCCCAGGCTTCACAACATCCCGCACACATTGTGAATATGGTGAATCAGGTTTCACAGTCCCCACCGCTGAAACCAGAGCCTTTAACCAAAAATCAACTGCTTCAGGCCTTCCATTATCTTTTGAAGAACGATCCAGACTTTGTCAACACGCTTCATGAGGCATATGTAAAGTCGTTTGCTGAAATTGTCCCTTAGTTTTGTTCGCTTTCCTTGACTTGGGCCCTAGTTTGGTGTAAATTATTTTACTACTTGTGATAGCCAATCATCTTATTGATTGGTATACTCTTTTATTGAATGGATCAATGGATTTCCTTAGGGCTTTGTACAAAATGAAGCAACTTTATTTCTACATTGCCCTTTGCAATCTTGTGGTGTTAATTTCTGTGACTTAGCATACCACAATGACTCGGATAAACCTCATGGTTTCTTCTAAACACTTAAAAGAGATTTTGATTGCAAAAATTCTCTCTTTATTAGCTTCTATTTCTCAAGAGAGATAGTAGCCATATCTGGCCTTTCTAATGAAGTGTGCCATCAGTTTCTTGAATGTTTAGCACCTTATCGCCTTAATGACTTCTGCTGTGGATGTTTGTTAGCCTATCTGATTTTTATAAGTTTATGGAGTACCTGAGGGAGTGGGTAGTGAGCTGAGGCTACTTTTTAAAAGAAAAAGAATCATTTGTATGACCTTTTTACCTCCCTGTAACTATGACTCTTTGTACACCATAACCATGACAGTTGCTTACTGTGAATTGGCAGGTCATGCTTGAATGTTACTTCACTATACTCAGCATCATTTCCCCCTCTGATATAATTTTATTATATTTGAAGTCACTATTTTTGGAAGATAATTTGTCTCTTAATTTGTCTTTTTTCCTTTCTTTGGAATGAATACCTACTTGTTGTAGGTATGTCTGAAGTTTGATGTGATAGCTAAATGAATCATCTGGAAATGATCTTATGAAGTTGGCAAGTTAAATTTTGCAGTTTCTGTTGAAATTGTTTAACATTGCTGCATTGTAAGAACATGTGATGTGGTTTGTTCATGGCATTATATTGAAATGTGTTCCTTTTATTTAAGAAGAATTTTCAATTGTAATTGAAGATAATTTGTAACTTTCTTTGTCTGGTTCTTAAATAGTGGCCACTGATTCACCATTCAATCTGTGTTTTTTTCTCTCTCTCTCTCCTTTTTTCACTTTTTTAAATTGATGTGCAATATTGGCATGGCATTTCCTCTTTTATCTGTTTTGTCTTAATGTCTTGTTCTTTTTGAGTTGTGTAAAACAATCTACATCTCTGTTCTATTTGATTTAAACTTTGTGAGAATCACTTGAAATTGTTTGTGCTAGATTGTATGTTCAGTGTGCTTATTAGGTTCTGAAATTCCCCTGCAGAACATGAATTATTTCATTGTCCCTCCTGGTCTGAGACTGTTAAATTAAAGACAGGTTTATAGCTCACCGGGACACTCATTTTTAATCAAATTGTGAGTTATTTTCTCACTGTAGTCATCATTTCCAAATTTACTTAATATTATGACATACTGTTCTCAGTCGATTTTTATTTTTTATTTCTAGATTTTGATTGACTAGGGTAAATAAACTGTGAAATCTAATAGGCAATGTTTCTTATTTCCAATTTGAATAAACTGGAGCTTTTTACTGTCTCAATCTAAAATAATGTAATTGAATTAATTTTGTGTTGGCTATTGGCAAGTGAGGCAATATAAAATGCCTGCCAACCTCCTGAGAATCACTCATGTGAAAAAAAAAATTACTTGTTCAATCTTGAAATTGTTTGCCTCTCATCAGTACATTGTAGATGATGTTTTGTTTTAGTGAACTTTAGATGCATATAGTCAAAGTTTATTTTGTAGAAAGAAGAAACCCTTATAATTATGTTCTCTTTTAGAGAATATTTTGTTTGTGCCAATTGGAGCATGTATTTAGCATTGGTGAACAAGTAGGGAACATCCCAATAGCATTGTGAGATTTGGTTTTGAGGATCTTATTTTTTAAGAAAAGGCAATAACGTTCAGAGTGCTTAAGACCTTTGCATTGAGACAGCCATCAGTGTCATGTTGCTGGATAGTCTTTATCCAACCCACCGTCAGTTACTATTGTTGTTGCACCTCAGGTTTAGGGGATCCATTACATACTGTAAAGAAGGATGCTGTTATTCTAGAACAATAAATGCTGGCAGGCAAGGAAGTACCTAACTGACACTTTATTTTCCACCCATTCCTTAACCACTCCCTACAACTGGTCCGCTGGCTGCTTAAGCAAGGCAAATAAAGCAAATGGTAAAGCAATCAATGTATAACAATAATTTATTCAACATCCATTTTGGAACTACAATTTCAAAATTATAGTAAACACCAAAGTGTTTCTTTGGTTGTGGTAACTTGTGTCCATGTTTCTTCCAAATTCTGAGTCAGAATAAAATTTAAGGGGATCGATCAAAAACAATAATTGCCTTATAATCCTCAATTCTAACCTGATGGCTGCAAAGGCTGGAATGGAACACAAGTACAGGAGAATTGGGTGCAATTACTACACAGTACTTTGACAATAACCAAGCACAACGAATAGAGCATAAGTACAGAGCAGATAAAATATGGAATTAAATATATAACAAGGAAGGATAACATAAAACAATAAAAAGAAGTGCTCTAATTTATAACAACAAAATGGAACAGGAAGTCCTTCCACTTCAGTTCTTGATAGCAAACAAGGTAAGGGATTCCATGTCCTAATGTGGAGTTGAAACCAACCCACAACTAGTATGTACAAACATAAATTGAAGGCGAGAGAATGTATTGATTTACATTCAGCAAATAAAAATGCACTTGGTGAACCGACAAGCATCCAGGAACATGATTGACAAAAACTAGCCAGACAAATGAGTACTTTCTGTGACAATAAATTTTGTCTCCTCATTTAAAAAAAAAAGATTTATTCAAAACATAATATAAATTTCAGGACAAGTTATAAACTTTATTGTGGTAAACCCTCTTCACTAAATTTGCAAAGAAAACTAAAAATAAGATTGAATGTAGTTTGAAGCATGCCCATGCATTCAAACACTGATTGTCAACCAGACTGGAAGCAGAACTTGTTTTGAAAACTTTGAAATTGATTATACCAGAGGAACTGTCACATCAACCTAATAATATGTTCATAATTTGTCATCAAGGCACTCTGGCTTCTTTTGGCTCATTATTGAGAGCACTTGGTACATGCACAGTCTTGACAGACTCCAAAACAGAACCCATGGGAAGCATTGTAGGTGGCGCCTGGGTTGCTTGAGTCAACACAGAAGGGATAGGGGCTGCGTTTATGGCTGAAGCGATGGCTGGAGCTGGGGATGAAGTTGTAGCTGGAGCGGGGGCTGGCGCAGTTGCAGAAGCGGGGGCTGGAGCAGGGGCTGAAGCGGGGGCTGAAGCGGGGGCTAGGACGGATGCTGGACCAGTTGCTGGAATGGAGACTGTAGGAGAGGTCTGGGAAACCTGAGATACTTGAGAGGTTTGAGAAGAGCTTCGCGAATGTTGACTTCCACTAACAGTACCAACAGGAGTCTGGACCATTGGAGTGGGGGTGACTCGATTGCCCTGAGCACCAGCAGATGCAACACCACCTTGCAACTGCATGTGATACCTATAAATATTTTCAGTGCTCTCAACAATACCTGGAACAATCAATTCATTTTATTAGTATCAAAAATTGGTGACTTGTTAATGACAACAAAAATGTTATGAGAGGAATAAACACACTTATGAGCAAAACAATAAACCTACCAGCATTAAGATTCAGACTACGACCTTTAATACCGCCTTCCTTATTACGAGGAGACCACCAATTCACAAAAGATCCCACAACTGGGACCTGTCGTAACAAACCCTCTTGCCACAATCGCTCTTCATTTTCCTTCTGAAGGTCCAAAGTTGCAGCTTCTATGCCTGAACATTACATTAAATGATAATAATAAAAATATAAAACTAGGAAAACAAATAATTTCTAGAATAGGACCTTAGTACTGACCTTTTTTCACTACCTGAGACATTGTTTCTAAAAATCGAGATGATTCTTCTACTTCTTTTCCAACAGAAAGGACCATTTCTAAAAGCTCTTCTACATCAGACCCAGTGGTCACCATTCCAAAACGAACATATGCCATGCCCTCATTATCTTCTCCTGCAAAAAAAAAAGGAACAGTGAAAATATAATTATTTTAGCATACATGCAGTGATAACAAAAGAAATAAAAAGAAAGGCAGAAAGAAAGAAGTAGACCATACCTAAAGAGAAGGCCTGGTCAGAACTCTGTAGTCGTTCAACTAACTGCATGTTGAGACGGTTCAATTCATCTCGCGCACTGGGCAAGAGCTCCCAACTGTCAGGCATATAACGGACACCACCGAGGCCTGCCCAATCTGCCATGTCTTGAACAAGTAGCAAATTTTTGCTCCGAGAAACAGATTGTTGGAATACGTCTTTTAGCTGCACAGTAGCAGTTAATACCTCCTAAAAAGCCAAGTAAGTTATTTAATTCACATTAATTTATTTCAGTCAATAATATAGAGGAGAAAGATAAATAAAGCATACCATCTGTTGCTCAAGGCAAACTGTAAACTGTTCAATATCCTCTTTGCTGGGTAAATAGTCAGGAGATAGCTCCAGGGGACAGTAACGTAAGACAATACCATGGGACTCAAGTTCACACAAATCAATGATAAGTTGAGGACATTCTTGTTGTAAAATATGTCCAAGCTAAAAAAAGAGACAGATTTTTGTTAAAAGGTTGTCAAGAAATTCATTTTGAGACAGAATGTGTCAAGGTTAAATTACCCAAGTATTAAGTTTGTCATAGTATGGAGACACTCGGCCTTTCTCAGTTCCATTGATGAATTGAAAAGTCACTGTACTTGCCACTACTTCAACCAGAAGCTGTAAATTAGATAAAATAGAAAAGTTACAATATACACTTAATGCAGAATTGAGAGAAAATAAAAGTTTGATATTTTGACATACCAAAGGGTTGAGTTGTTTGCCTACAATATCTGCAATTGTATAAGACCCTCCTTCACCGCCAGGCTGCTGACTCTGTAAAACAAATTAAGCCAAAATTTAGCTTTTTGTTTTCTTGAGAGAAAGATAAAGAAGGTGCTAAATAAAAGTTTTTCTACAAAAATCCATCATCATACCAGTAATCGAAGAGATGGAAGGTTTGCAAGAGCTTTCCACATCATTTCAGCGGACTCCAAAGCGCGTGTAATTCTTGTTTGTACCCCCTCTTTTCCGAGTGACTGAAACAAAAATGAAAGAAAGAAGGAGAGCATATTTTGGAGCCATTTGAATAAGTTAAGATAAAAGCATCTTAATGCTGTTTGTAGCATGCAACAAACCTGGAGAGTGGTCCATAAAGGTAGACTGACAAATCGCCTTGTTGATAAGTCATTAACTAATCCAGCAATAATCGGAAGAGTATTAATCCTTGAGACATCCTCACCCTCTGCATCATTAGGGCGAGGCAAGTAATACATGGTCTGAAGAAACATTAAGAAAATTTACAAAGCAAAACAAGGAATTAAGTGAAAGAACATGGTCGAATACCCAAATTGAATAGGAAAGGATACAGCAATAGGCAATGAAGGTATGCCTAACCAATTTCCTAGGGGCAAGGAGAGACTGTCTGCCAGCTTAACAGGCTGAAAAACAAAAACAAAAATTTATGAGATGAGGTAATTGAGAGTGAAACTGCAGAGAAGGGGAGTTGTCCTGTTCATTTTTATCAAACCTTGACAGATGGATGGGTGAGCACTAGAGCAGCAAGGTTATGACCCCTGAGGTGCATCCAAACATTGTGTTTCTCACACACCTCTTGAATTCGAGTCAAGTTGTCCACATGTCCAGCAATGACTGTCCCTTCAAAGCAGCAAAATTAAGAAAAAATTATTGACAGTTCAAATTTAAAAAAAGCTTATAAATGTACATTTTTAAAGACATTTTTTAAAAATATTGTACCTGCATCAGCAAGAACCATGAGAGGAACTCTATGCGCACTTTTATCTTGTTCTATAAGTCGTTCCAGTTCAGCAACATCCATCCTTTGATGGGAGCCAAACATTGTGTTACATGGCACTGGCTGAATACAACGTACTGGAAGCCCCAACTATAAGGTTGAATTTACATGTGAGCTAGTTACAAGGTTGTTACTAATTAATTGTATTAAACAATTTCATTAAATAAGACATTTAAGGAAATAATGACCTGTCTACAGAGATGCTGGACTATATTAAGAGGTGAAGCCACACTGGAATAGATTACTGGCCGTTCTGAAGTTAATGCTTCATAACCATCCTCTTGAAACTTTGGATACCTCTTGTGTAACAAGTACCGTCCAATTCTTACTACACCTTCCAATGGATCTTCATGGAATAAAGCTGAGCTCTCTTCTGTTATTTCTGCAAGTCTTCCAAAAAAAAAGCAAATGAAAACATAGATAACAAAGAAACCAAGTTGGCTAGTTAGAATCTAACTCGTTCAGTGGGCGGCATACCTAAACAAATGGGCAAGCCATCGGCTGCAGTCACTTGCTAGGCGGCTGTTTAATTGCTGAGAGTGAGTTCTATCTAGTGTGCATGCCAGGGCAGCAACACTGTGAGAAACAACAGCGAGCTTTGATGGGGCATCCAGGGCTGGGACCGATGCCACAGCGGGATTCTCTGCATCCGTCTGTGAGGCATCTTCATTCCAAGTGGAAAAACTACTACTATCTTCAAATGCTATCAAGTCCTAGAATAGCAGAATATAAAAAAGAAAGTCATTGATAGGAGACAATGTGGGGATAATTTCATTCCATTCAAGGGCTTACCTCAAGAACCCTAAATATTTCACCATTGGTCTTGCTCGGAGGTGTAAGCACAGGCACATTGCTCTTCCATGCAAGTCCACCTGTAGTGTTGGCAGTGCCTTCTGCAGCTTGCTCAGCAGCCCTCTCTGCTGCCTCCTCTAGTCGTTCAATCACTTGAGACGCTTGAAATTCCACATCAGAGACAACTGATCGTCGTGTCTGGTCGCATAGGAGGGTGACATAAGAAAAACACAAGAAGCACAAAAAAATCATGAACAGGAAACCACCATATGCAAAAACGTTTTGAAAATTTATTAAAGAGTCTGCAAAATGTCTAGCTGTAATAGACCTGAAAACTAACAACATCTGAATTTTGCAAGGTAAAAACTCCAAAGGGAGTTGAAGAAATAAAATCATCACGAATAAAAATTTCGTAAATTTTATTCGAAAGATTAAAATGTCACGATTGACGGACACAATTCTTCCAACCAACGTCACGTCAAAACACAGACGATAGGTTAGTGTCTGCGGAAACTAGTGTCAGTAGGATTGAATATAAACCCACCAACACTTTAACAACGCTCACAGGACATACAGAAGAAACGAAAGAAAGGAAGAAACGACAACACATCAAAGACAAACCTCTAGTTTTAGATTATCATGCAAATAACCGGGATCAGACATCATGGGAATCTAATCTTCAAAACGTCACGACGAAACAAAACATTACACATCAGACACAATCGAATCGGCAATCGATGTGATACTTCGAGATTTGGTCTCAAGTTGGGATTCGAGCGGAGGCAGGATACGAGACTAGATCTATGAGAAATTGTAAGTGAGGCAGAAGCGAATCCTTTGACAGCGATTTCTGGCGAGAATCGCGACGCTCACTCTAGAGTCGCGTTGGATCGCTTTATTTAATTCTTTTCAGAACATCTCCCTCACTGGTTTCTTGCCAACTGGTTAGTAAAAAAAATGAGAGGTCTCTCCAAAAGATTTAATTTTAAAATATCTTATTCCCTCTTTGATGTCAGATGCTGCTGCCAGAAAGCAGTAGGACCTTCCGTGGTAATAATTAACCGAGGAATAAAAACTTCTCCAGGGCATCAAAATTCTTGACCTGTCCTTTCAGTCCGCTAACCCTTGATGGGCATGAAAAAAAGGGGGATTGGAGAGTGCGGGAAGTCCACCCACGTCCGGCGCTGTCCCGGCCCTCCGCGCGCCCCGCCCCCACCGTCCCGCACCCCGCCACGGGACAGTCAAAGCGAGCATCCTGCCCTCTCTGCCAGGGCGGCCAGGGCGGCCAGGGCCTGCCTTCCCTGTGGCCCGACGGCCCGGCGGCCCGACCCAGCAAGTGGACTCGCCCGTCTCCCCACCCCTGCCTCCCTTGCCTCCCTTGCCCAGTGCACCCCACGTGCCTCCACGCTCACAGTTAGAAAAATTGCCGCTAATTTTCATAGCAAAGGATGTTGGCCTGGAATGATTCGGTCGTAATTTAACGACCGTCGTAGTCTACCCACTCGCTTCTTGCCTTGCTTCGCGTGCGTCGCGTCGTCCCATGCACCGTGGGAGGGCATGGCGACGACACCGGCGCACCTTTGCAAAACTTTGGCCTCTCTAATGGCGTGGCTGGTCGGGGCCTCATTAAGAACCGCTCGTCGCATCGACAAGCACTTGACAAAGTCGGCCACGAGCGCAGCAGCGCCGCCGCGCCGAGCGGGCTCCACTGACCGGGTTCAGCCACGGGGTGGCGCGTGAGTGCAACAGAGAGAGGGAGAGGCGATGCGACTCGAAAGCACTGCTGGGAACCACGCGGCTGGATTCCGCTCTGGGAATCTAGCGTCATCCCTCGCCACGAGCGACTTGTCGTCAATCCTCGAAAGTCTCGTCGAGTCTCGTTGATTTGAGCCCCGACGAGCCCCAGCTGCAGACTGTAGGCTGCAGGCATGCCGGCTGGTGGGAGGAAGGGCCCTTTACGTTCCAGCCGTCTCTGTGGCGCTGTCCAGCCAGGTCCAGCGCGGTCCAGCGTCTCAAAAGAATTATTTCACTTTTGGCAGCGTGGCGCGGGGGCTCGCCCAGAATCCTAGATGGGCGGTGGTGGGCTGCACCCACCCTGGGCACTGGCGGGGCACTGGCGGGGCACTGGCGGGGCGGGCACGCCTCGCTTCAATTGGACACCTTGTCCGACTCCCCGCCCCCGGCTCCCCCGACTCGGCAGTGCAGAGGCACGGCCGAGACCGGCCAAGACGCGCCCCTCGGAATGCCAAAACGAGGCCGGCCGACCGGGGCCGACCAGGGCCGACCGGGGCCGGCTTGTCGGAGCTAGCAGCACTGTGCACCCCTTCGCTCCGCCCTGTCGGGGCCCGGCGCGCGGCAGCTTGTTTGTCCGCGAGACGCACGCAGTCGCGGCGCAGTCCAGTCCTCACGGAGTCCTCACGGAGTCCTCGCGGAGTCCTCACGGAGTCGGAGGCCCAGGACGGCTAGGTCCAGGGCACGGCGGCAGGGCGTATTGATTGCCAATGCCCAACTCGGTCCGTGAAGGGCTCTGGCTCTGCCTGGCTCTGCCCACTCTGGCGGGCATCCACACCTCCCGCCCTCTACACGCTGCGGCCGCTGGAGAAGGGCCGCAGGGCCGCAGCACACTGATTCCGAGAGTCGTTTTCGTCGCTCTGTCGCTCTCGCACTCAAGGGGCACCCCGTATACGCGCGAGGGAGCCAGAACGACGAGAACGACTCTCGGAATCAGTCTGCAGGGAACGAGAGGGAAGGCCCTCGGCCCGGCCCAAGGCCCAAGGCGCACCCTGATTCTTTTTACTGCCGGGACCCTCCTCGGCTTGGCTCCTTCCCGCTCCCGCCGAGGCTCCCGCCCACCAGCAGTCGCTTCGTCGCCCCGTCTCCGTCGCACTCCAGGGTTGGGGCGGCCGCTAGCGCTAGCTGGATCTTCGAGGAGACAGCGACGCAACGGCCGGGGGCTCGGTGGGGAGGGGGCGCGGCGGCGCGGCGGCGCGGCACTGTTTCATCGGCCGGAGAGGGAAGCCACCCGGAAGGATGATGACCGGAAATGGAATCGGAACGCGGCGGAACGCGGCAGGCGGCTGCCCGAGCAGGCCGCGGACGCCGCGGACCTGCCAGACGAGACAGCCAAGGAGACAGCCGCCTCCAACCCAACGCCCTGGGCCGGCCGGGCCAGGCACGGCGCGCCACGGCGCCCACGGCACGTCGTGTCGCCTGTCGCCCGGACCGGACCGGCGATACGGCCAGATGTCTCGCATACTGATCGCACCCATTAGCGATCCGGGGGCAAGGGGCCGCTCGAGGGGCAAAAGAACCTCCCCCTTCCCACGCCACCGGGCTACAGGGCCGCCACAGTGCTGTCGGTGCCGTCGGGGAGTTTGCGATACGGGAAAAAAGAAGGGGGTCATCACAGCGCGGCCTGCGGGCCCCAAGCGGGCGGGGGAGGCTTTTCGGAGGCCACCCACCCCCTCTCCAGTGTTTCGCGTTTCGCTCCTGTGGCTCCGGCCGGGTGTGTATCTGTGTATCCTGGCATCAGTCTCTGCAGTCAAGGACCGCCCCTGGCTGGAGCGTGCCTGGAGCGTGCCTGGAGCGTGCCTGGAGCGTGGTCTGGAGTGGATCCGCCACCCCCCGCCCCCCTGCAGGCTTCCAGGCTGGTGCCCTTCCCGCCCTCTCTGGCGCTGGCTTTCGGAGGCCACCACGCTGTAGCTGTGGGCTCGCGCCGGGCTTGCGCGGCTTGTGAGCCTCCGTGAGTGTGGAAAGTGGGTCGAGAAACGAAGGGAAAGCGGGATGAGTTTCAACGGGACTCACGGCAAAGGGAGGGGCCGTGGCCGTGGCCGTGTTGGGGCGGAGCGGAGTCCAACCTTTCCCAGTGGCGTGGCGGGGCAGGCGGCAAACACGCCAAATCGACGCTTCTTTCCCTTCTTCCTCTCGCTTTCTTTTTCCTTCTGTTTTGTTTGTTCATCTCGCCGACCCAGCGAAGACACCGTCGGCTTCCCTCGCCGTCCGAGGGCCTCTGCGGCGCTTCGAGGCGCACCGCTTCGCGCCTCCGAGCCCCGCATCCCTGCTGCTCCCTGCTGCCCCGCCCCGACGACGCCTCGAAGGCTGCCTCCACCCGCCGGGCCGGGCCCAGCGCCGTGCACGCGAGGCTGGCGTCTAGTTTCCCGGAGTGCACCCCTCCGCCCGTCATTGTGGTGCTGTGGCGTGTGGCGCTGCCCTCGACGGCAGCGACAGCGTCTCGAGACACAAGGCGGTATCAGTACGGGGAAGTCCGCCCCGCCCCGCCCCTCCTGCAGAGGAGCGCGCACGGCGGAGCGCTTCCTTCGTCCCCCTGTCTCTCTCTCTCTCTCTCTCTCTCTCTCTCTCTCTCTCTCTCTCTCTCTCTCTCTCTCTCTCTGGGTGCCCCTGGAGTGCGCGTGCTGGCGGCAAAGATAGAGAGAGGGAGGGACAAAGCGACGAAGCACTCACTGTTCAGGAACGTCCTGCTCTCGGCGGCCGGTGGCGAGGCCAGGACCGGTCCGCGCGTGCCCGACCGACCCCGAGACAGTCCTGGCCGCGGTACCCCGGTGTGCTGCCGGTGCGCGGTGCGTGCCTTCCGGACGACAGCGCATGCCGCGCCGTGCCGCGCCGTGCCACGCCCCCAGCTGTTGCACCGGCCGACACGGCGATATCCAATCGCGCATCCTCCCCCCCCTCCTTTCCGCCCCCCTTGCCGCGGGCCAGACTGCATGCCTCCGCTCCTCCCCGCGCCCCGGGCCTCGCTTCCTTTGACGGCCCGCCTTTTGTGCACACGGGGCCATGCCACGCCGCGCCGTGCCACGGGCCCGGTGGAAACTCACTCCGCCACGTACCCTTCCCGAAACTCGCCCTCTCTCTCTCTCTCTCTCTCTCTCTCTCTCTCTCTCTCTCTCTCTCTGTTTGTTCATCCATCAATCCTGCTTTGTTCCGCCGCCCAGACCCGCCCCGCCCCGCCCTGCCCCGCCCCGCCCCGCCCCGCCCCGCCCCGCCAGGCTCATCTCCTGCGTGCCGCACAATGCTAGGGGTGCCCGCCGTGCCCCCATCCGGGCTTTACAGCGTTACCTCATCTTATTAGCGGGCCGCCTCCGCCCCAGCCTGCCACGCGCGTGCGTCCGTCTCCAACTCAATTTGTCCAACTTTGCCGGTCGGCGTGAGTCGTGTGTCTCGAGCGCGGTGTTCGCGGCATCGCCACCCGCGGCATCGGCGGGCGGCAAAACCGCCTGCGAGGTAGGCAACGCGCGCGCACCGGTGCGTACCAGGGCGCGCGCTGGGCGCTCCGCGACGGCCAGGTTCATTCCGCTCAGTCTTTCTCACTCGCACCCATGGAGCGTCCCGAGGAATGCGTGAGAGAGAGAGAGAGAGAGAGACGGAGCCGTGAAGCACTGATCGGAATGAGACGGCCGCCGGGTGTCGTGAAGATGAGCAGGACGACGACGACGTGGGGACGACCAGGCACTCGGGCGGCAGCTTGCGAGCCGCATGCGGTTCGGCGTGATACCCAGGGAAAGGGCCTCACCGGAGCAACAGGGGGCCGTGGGGACGGTGGTGGAGGAGGGGGAGGGTGGCCGACCCGCACCGACCCGCGCGACGCCGAAGGTACGTGGTACCTCCAAGCCTTTGATTGGTTCTTTGGCCCCGTCCCCGGCCCGGCGGTAGCAGACTGACTCCGAGGGTCGTTTTCGTCGCTCTGTCTCTCTCGCACCCACACGACACGACACGCCGTGCGAGAGAGACAGAGCGACG